TTGGATAACCCTTGGGATGCAGAACGTCAGACATTACCAGTGCAACATGGGAACTGAAAATGCAGGCATTGCAACCCCACCACAAAGTTAACATTAAGGAATCTAGCCTAGAAGTGTATGTGGACACACATTCAAGAGAGAGGCGCAATTTGTTTTTCCTGTTGGCTGAACGAAAAACCTGTTTTAACAATACCAATCAATAATGTATTGCAACCTATAATTTGAACATACACAGAAACAACAAAACGAAGGAAAACTAATCAATGACCACCTGACAGATGTAGCAACAGACATCTGTTTGGTGTTTTACTGTTTACACATGAGCCCCCTGCAGGCGACTGATCTGCTGCAAGCCAGGAACTCCTGGTCATTGGTGCAAGAGTGGTTTTTAAAAGGCCTCCACATGGTCATAGCCAACAGGAAGAAAAACGGCATATCCATCTGTGATCTAACTGCCATTTCTAAGTAGTTTTATTTAAATATTCATAACTTACTTGCATCGGTAAGTAATGTAGAACACACACTGGATCAACAGTGAAATTAGACAAAAGCTTTCCTTGAGCCAATACACATCTCATGTCACATCAATAAAGCCACAAATCAGCACTTCATTGGTCTTTGCACTAAAGGGGATATTGGGCAAGTTGCAGCTAACTGTGCCAAGGGTACCTAGATAGACTATACTTTGGCTAATGTCCCAGGGCTAATCCACATGCTACCTGTTGCTACTTCATTTCTTCTGCCTTTCTCCTTCTGGATTCACACATGGAAGAAGAATTAAAAGGGTCTGGTGACACTTGCAGAAACTTCCAAGGTCAGGAAAACTGCAGCAGTAAACCAAAGCATCTCTGACCAGAGGCCAGTGCAATTGTTCCATGGCAGCAGTTCAGACATGTGGGTGAGGGGAGAAGGAGAAGGAAGATGTAATATACTAAGCCCCTAAATTTTTCAGTGTAACTCATCAAGATTCAGTTTAAATAAGCCTAAGCTAGTGGAACAAAATATCACCAACTATGCTGGATGGCTCCGTGACGTTTGGCTGCCTAGTTTACAAGGATCCATTTCTGCACTATGAAGTTTCTCACAATATTATATCATCTTACGACCTACTGTGGACACATGAGAACCTTTGTGACCCAAATTACCTGACAATACATTACTTGCCAGCTGTGTTTGCACAGCATTTCCACTCTGGCCGAATTAACAATACATACACCCCTGTTAGCATCTTGATCACACTGGCACTCAGGACAGCAAGGAACTTGTACAACATTATTGGAAAGATGCTATCCACCCCAGAGTGTGTTGGAGAACTGTAAGAACAAAATCTGCCATTGCAGAAAGTCCAGTCCCAAACAATCATTTGCAAGCATAACACAACCAAGGACATACCTTTTGCAGATCTCAGCACGACAGGTTTAGAGCGATCATTGTGAACTTACCTTTCTTGCTCCTTTTTGGAGACATCCTCCTACCACAACCACTTCTAAAACACCAGCACAAGAATGCAAGAGACACCTGGCTGTTGACAATTCAAATCTGCTTTTCCTTGTATGAGTGGGGCCACTTTTGACACATTGCTCTTTAAAGACAGGAGCCTTTCTTCAGAACCAGGTCTTTGATGACCTCAGCAAAGCCAGGAGGGCCAATATGAAGGACTTCAGTGCCTTCCAGAATTTTTCTGTGACATTTTCTTTATAGTCTTTTTAGTGCCTTCTCTAGAAAACAGGCATGTTTACAGCCCTCCCTACATGATGCCTGCATACATAACATGTGTCTTATGATGCACAATTTAAGGATCAGAAGAAGCCCCACGAAGAGTCACTTTCACTCACATCAATCTGCCCTCCAATTGCCCTATATGACACCCTATCTGTTGATTCCTGAACATTAAGGAAGCTCTAATTACAGACTCAGAAATGAACTTGCTGACAATTTGAAGTCTGTCTGAATTCATTAGTGCCAATGGGTTCTGTAGTGCTTTGGAATCATGTGGCCCAATTCATTAGAACCCAGAAAGGGCATGATGTCACTAACCCTTTTAGATCACTCCACAACACTTATTTAAATGCAGCTTGATAGGTCCTAGGGTTGCATTTTCTATGTAAAGTGGTTTCCTAAGAAGCATGCCTATGATTGACAAAGAAGTTTGTCTCATGGGGAACTGTGGGGCAGATAAGTGCCATGCTAAAAAACAAAACAAAACAAAAAATTAGGGGAAGGGAAAGGAAGAGGACAGCCAGAAAAGGCATCTGTTTCCAGACAGAGCTTAGGGCATATTTACTAACTATGATTGAGCTGTGAATCTCTGCATAAAAGACAAAAGTGGGAATAATTCTGTGCCTATTGATATACATCTGGCTGCACTGCATTTGATTGGGATTTTAGAACTAGCTATCTATACATGCATCAATTCACATGCCACAGAGCAGCTGGAAGATTGCAAGTTTTAATTTTCCCCAATGCAGGGAACACATGTGTGTGCACAGAAAACTAGCTTATGAGGAAAAAGAATTCTAGGCCAAGTTTCTCTCTGATGTGCCAATTTTTGACATGTGTGAAGCAATTTGTTTTGTTTCTTTTGATAGGGTGCAGAAGAAATGCATCCAAACAAATGATATCTCATGTGCAGTCCAAATGGTATCACCCAAGGGGGAAAGTGTGTCACACATGTCTGCTGCATATGTGGATCAGCATCAAATTCCTGCTCTCCCAATGATTTCCCCACACGCACCTTGGGTTTCCCCACATTAACACTAGATAAATGTAGTGCTCCATATCATAATAGTTGGAGTGACCAAATTGAAAGCAAGATTTGAATGACTAAAGGATGAATATACCCTTATAGGCTCATGAAACACCCAGTTCCCATCTTAAACATGAATGTGGTAAAGTCACCACAAGGTGATTTTAATGTGTCATTTTTGCTTGAAGAATACATCTTCTAAATGCCATTATGAGTTCTGTGGGGAGAGCTTAGCTTTCAGTGGATCTCCAGGACATGCTAAACTCATTCTCATTATACAGAAGGGCAGTCAGAAGATCCATTTCACAGTGACTTTACCATGTCAAAGATGAACATGAACACAGGACCAAAGTCCAGTAGCAACAGCACCATGGAGCCACCCTCCCAACTCCAGCATCACTGCAGCTTGCCTGGATGGTACTGGAGCAGGGAAGGGAAGGGACCAGGTTGTGGCTGCAGAGATGCACTGGTGAAGCTAAACAGGCACTCCCACCAGAGCATCCAAACTGCCCATCACTCCAACACTGTCTACGACAGTTTCACTGATGCTGGTGTCAGGAGAGCAGTTCCACAGTGCATATTGACCACACTGGCTACTACTGCCAAAGTCTACCAACAAGTGACACCTTAGCACACAATCACCAACAGGAAATTGTGAACATCATTTGCAGAACCAAAAAGCCTCCAGGAGTTCAATTTGATACCTTTTCAGCTTTTGCAGCCACTTAAGACAAGACTAAGTACCGGACACTGTGGCTGGAAAACTTTTAAGAAGTTAATGTACTTCATTTAGTAAAACTCTGATTACTGTCTAGCACACACAGTTCCATCTGGATGCTATAAAAAGAACATCAATAGCCCCCTTTCATTTCATTTGTCTTTAAATATGAAAACAGAATGCACTCAAGCACTTTCATATTAGATCAAAGGGAAAATAATTATCCTACTCTTTCTTCAAGTAATCTAGCTTTTAAAGCTAGTTGCCTAGCAAGATGATGAGGCAGCTCCGACATTAGGATTCACACCCAGTGTTAAGCTACCAAGCCAGACATCAAATGCCTTCTAGGTCCTTGCAAAATCCCATATAAAAAGCTGGTACTCACGATCATTGCACTGGTTCCCAGAGTAGGAAGTCATGGAACAGTCACAAATGAAGCCTTCCCATTGCTGGATGCAGATGCCTTGGTTGGCACAGGAGTCTTCTTGGCAAGTGGTGCTTGGTCCTGAGATGGGATAGTGAGGAAAGCAAGAAAGAAAGAGTAGCAATTGGAAAAGAGTCATAATACAAGACCATTATTTATTGTCGTCATGCACCAAAGAAGAAAAGGAAACCAAACACTTCCCCCCACCCCTATTTCATGGACATGCAACAGAAATCCAGGACACACAGAAGACATGGAGAATTGCACACTCAGCAACAAACAGAAAACTGTGGCACGCAGCAGAAAGAAGGTGTGGAAGGTAGCATATTCCCTCTTAGGCAGGCTCAGAAGAAATGCTTATAATAACTGAAGTTTGCCTCCCCCACCATGCCAAGATTCACCATAATCATCCTAGTTTTCTCAACAATGCAGCCTGATTCTCCAAGTTGTCTATTACTTGCCTCCTCATGATTGCTTTTCATCAAGGATGGGATGGGATGTCGTTTGGGACTCCCAATCATTTCTTCAATGCAGGTTGGAAAGGGAGAAGGGAACTGACAGTTCATTTCTCTAGTAAGTGTCCACTTTATCCAAAGACCTATCAGCTGGTCTTTGAAAGGACAATGTTTGGTAGGATCTGGTACAGTGTCAGCTCCTGCTCTTTGTTGGTGCCTTTGACCCTGCCTCTTGACCCTTTGTATCAATGCTATTTATTTTCAGCACCAGAAATATGAGAAACAAAAATTGGGATTAGTCATTGGGTTAGTTCACACACAGGCAGAACTGCATAGGAAACAAAGGGGATGCACTCATATTTTGAGGATCCAGTTGCAGACTGCAGGTAGGAACCACTGATTTTATGCTCATTTGCCATAGGAGATCAAGTTAATTCCCCATTATTATTTAATACTGTGCTTCAGTTCCTCACTTTTTGACTTGGTCCAAGCCACTGAGCCATCTGGGTGTAATGAGTTAACAGCATCCTCTGAGATCCATCAATCAAAGGGATTTTTTCCTCCTTCACTGTTGTGGAAGGAGGTGAGATCTGCCATGCACAAAGCAGTTTGTCTTGCTATTTTACCAAACTCAGCAGATCTGAAAGACTAGAAAAAATGAACTCTCCCTTACGACCAACAACAGAGAGTTGCATTTTGGATCAACTAATGAAGAAGAAAAACACCCAGCAGTTTACACTTCTGTATTTTCAACAATGCTCTTATATCCATCAAAGGAACAGTAGAGGGATTCATCGGGTATACTATGACCAAGAAAATGCTGAAACAAAAGCAGGTGCAGCAGAGCTTAATGGGCTGGATCCAGAGTTCCAGTGAGTGGAATTCTGCTTGAGGGACACTCTCTTTGGAGGAATGGCAGAAGAAGCTTTCACCAGTTCTGAGGGAGGCAGTTTTAGTCAACTCCTCCTCCCCCCATAGCTCCTGAGAATCTGCTTTGTGGAGTTGAGGTACCCTCTGGAACATGCTGCAATAAGCAAGGGGCTGCAGTGGGAAGCAAGGACTTGCCTCCTTTACTGGATCTCAGTTCCTGGCATTTGATCCATCCTTTTCCCCGTGCAAACTATTTGTCAGCCAAGGGCAAAGAAAATTCATCAAGTGATGAGTTCAGATGGGACAATGAGATGAACTTTACTTGTTGACATTCTGCTTCTTACAGGGCTGTGAAGAAGCAGAAGAGTTCTGACAGTGGTGAGGAAAACTAAACCTGACTTCCCAGCCCTAACCCCTCACCTGGTTCACACATGCAAGTAAAACCACTTGGCTATTTTTCATTTGACACCTGACAGCTCATTGGGTAAACTGACTCCACTGAACAGCAAGAATGCTGGGGTGAAGTTCAGTGGGCTAAGGCCCAAGAACAAGGTTTTGGGGGGGGGGCATTCAGGAATGTTCCCCTCAAAAAGAGGTGAACCTGATTAAAATTGTATTAAAATCCAAACTGAGGGATACTTCAGAGTTTACCCCTCCTTTGAAGAGGTGCCCCACATGAAAAACTCCACCCCACAAGGGACCCTCTTTAGCTAAGTCTGCTTCACAAGGGGATGCCTTTTGTCCCCCAACCCAGGAAAAGCCATAGCTCGATGACAGAATATATGCCAGGTTTCCAGGTTCAAGCCCCAGCATCTCCAGGTATGGCAGTGAACAATTTCCTTCCTGAAGCTGCCAGTCACTGTAGTGAATACTAAACTGGTGAAGGCTCTGACACAATATAAGGCAGCTCCCTATGTTCCAATGTTCCTCAAGGGCATCACTTCAAAGCAACCTCATAGAAAAGCAACAAAAATGAGAAACATGTTGTCCTGCTGTGCTTGAAAACATCAGCCTTTTGCATGTAAGTGCCTGGGAAACACGACTGGTTTCACTTTAAGCCTCTCTGTGTATGGCTATCTAGCTTGCATCCTTCTGCTCAGACAGGCAACAGGCTGGCCTGAGTGGCATCAGCAGGATGGGAGTGGTTCAGGATATTAACGCACCAGGGGCAGGGGGAGATACAAACCCAGAGCTTCTGTCAGAATTTGAGCTGCTGTGTAACAAGCCTCAGGAACACCGGGAGGCAACGACAGTGCTACCATCTTACAAACACAGTGCCTGTGAGTGATTTCATCTAAGGAGATGGGCTATGACAGCAGCAAGAAAAGGAGGCTCCAGGCTTACAGGAGAAGCAGCTTTTGGATTTTACCCTCTTGCTGCTTTTCACAAACAACACACCTGTTTCTCTTTTATGGGGGAATACTTTGTTTGATTGACCTCAAAGCAGGTATTATTCTCTGGCTGGATTCTACTGACATGAGCATTTTCTCCATAGCTCCTCTACTAGGGAGTTAACTGCCACATCCATACACACTGACACCAATGACCAAGAGGAAGCAGTGTCCAAAGATAATCTAAATGAGACTCCACCTCAGATTCATCCTACTAGAACAGCTTTCCTTCTAGCACCTTGCGAGTTATAATTTCACAACTCAATGGGATTTAAGGGAGGATTATGTGAGGTGGGCTGGGGAGTAAAGATGACATAAACTCATATGAACTAGGGCTTCTCCAAGCAACCTGTTTATGGATCATTCATCATAATTTGTTGTGCAAAGCTTATGCAGAGGTTAAACTACGTTAGGTCTCTATTGAGCTTTTGTTCCGATTTAAGTGTATCTGTTATGCTAGGAAAATATAGTACTTTAATACACCAACTCTGCAAACTTAAAATTAAATCCACATGGCCTTTATTTTATTTAAGGAGCTGGATACATAATTTAATTAAGTAGTAGCAACTATTGCCAGCTGGTTCACCTCAACTAAATTCTTCTCAGAGAAAACCCATTGAAATAAGTCAGGCTTCCTCAAACTCGGTCCTCCAGATGTTTTGAGACTACAACTCCCATCATCTCTGACCACTGGTCCTGTTAGCTAGGGATCATGGGAGTTGTAGGCCAAAAACATCTGGAGGGCTGAGTTTGAGGAAGCCTGAAATAAGTGAACCTGAATGAGGACTCATCCACACCTCCCTTTGTCCTGTGATTTCTTCTGTGACATCTAGGCACAGGTCCTGCAGCTTTCCCCAGGAAAACCCACTGTTTACCACTGAATTGGAACAAATGGCCAATCCACAGAAAACTCAATTCTTGTTTGCTCTGGTTCAGCAGTAAACAGTGGGAAATAAACAGTGGTTTTCATTTTATTTTTTCCGTCCCAGGGGCTACAAAGATGGGTCAGAGCCACCTTTCTAATGCTGGAGCCTTTTAACTTCCAACAGGAAATACAAACTGGCTCAGCTTTATTTAGTTACAGCCTGTTTGATGGACAGTAGTTGAGCTTCTGGATCATTGTGCTCGCTTCACCTCTTTGGCATTCCCCAAGGAAGTTTCACATGAGGACTAGATTTCTTGTGGAGAATTCTTCTTCTGCTATTTCTGTTCCTCGCTGATGTCATAATTCCCCTGCCTGTGACACTAGAATCTTGGCCATGGCAAGGGGGATGTCACAGGGAATGAGGATTATGGAGGAGAAAGCAAGAGGAGCCCACCAGGGCTTTAGATGCCAAAGAAGTCTGTTTTCATGCACATGACCCTTCAGGTAACAGCTGAGGGCAGAAGCAATGGAGATAGGATACATAATTTATGTGCACAGGGAATGAGAATTGGCACTGAGTAACATCTTTCTCAAGCTCTCCACAAGGTGTCATAAGCTTCATTTCTATTCATGGCATTTCTGGTGCCATTTAACAAGATCCTGACTGCTTAGTAAAGCTTTAAAATATTAACGTTTAATTGTGCAATCACCGGTATAGATTTCAGATGAGTCTGTTTATAGGTTTTAATTTATGAAAAGAGTGTTTGGTTGTTATCATTTAAATCCATCCAACCAATCTCTCTCCCCCACCTCTGCCTCCAAATCTCTTTCTTTCTGTTTAAGGGGATTTTCTTTCACATTTTAGGAAAAACGAACTGGCTCTCTAGAAGCCCCCACCCAACACAAATGAAGTAGAAAATAATAACCAGTGAAAGATTGTCAGCCTAGAATAACTGGCATTTGCTGCACAGTTGTTGGTCTATACCGATTATCCCTACAAAAGTATGTGTGCTTGATAGGAGAAGTGACTCTGCGCATTAATTGGTATGTTATCAACACAAATCAGCAAATGAAACTTTTTCTATTACTCCCTCTCCTGGCCCAGAAAAGCCTCGCCTATTCATTGTTACCTCTTATACAGGTATGGGACGCGGGTGGCGCTGTGGGTAAAACCTCAGCGCCTAGGACTTGCCGATCGCATGGTCGGCGGTTCGAATCCCCGCGGTGGGGTGAGCTCCCGTTGTTCGGTCCCAGCTCCTGCCCACCTAGCAGTTCAAAAGCACCCTTAAGTGCAAGTAGATAAATTTCTAGCGGGAAGGTAAACGGCGTGCTGGTGCTGGTTCGCCGGAGCAGCTTTGTCATGCTGGCCACGTGACCCAGAAGTGTCTGTGGACAGCGCTGGCTCCCGGCCTCTAGAGTGAGATGAGCGCACAACCCTAGAGTCTGTCAAGACTGGCCCGAACGGGCAGGGGTACCTTTACCTTTTATACAGGTATAGGCCAGGGGTCTGCAACCCGCGGCTCCGGAGCTGCATGTGGCTCTTTTACACCTTTGCCGCGGCTCTGGGGCGGATACTAGCGAGGGGAGAAGGCGCATTGTGCGCCCCGACACTCCCCACTGTGGCGGGCGCTGTACTGGCTGTGACATCGCATGGGGGCGGTGCGTGCGTTAGTCACGCACCGCCCCGACGTCACCTTCCCACCTGCCCGCCCGCCACATTGTAAGGGGCATGTACGCTGGTCACTGCACTGAAAGGGGGCATGTACGCAGGTCACTGTTTTGAAGGGGAGTGAAGAACACACACACACAAAAACGTAACTTGTTAATTTAACGTTTATTTCTATGAGGAGGAGTAATTCTGAGGGGTCAAACAAAGAAATACTAAAAAGTGACAAAAAAGTTATTTTTATAATGACGAGTTTTGCGGCTCCCAGTTTTTTTTTCTTTGGAAGCGGGTCCAAGTGGCTCTTTTTGTCTTAAAGGTTGCAGACCCCTGGTATAGGCTGTTTTCAAGATTGTGCAAGAGGAAGGTAGCTTGTTCAGTGGATTGTTGTCTTTACCTCATCCCTCAGCAGCACCCCTCCCCCTCAAAAAAGCCTCTCCAAAAAGTGAAGCAGACCTGCATAGTGAGCTGTGTCTTCTAGGTCTCCAATGTGTGTTTAGGGGAAATTGTCTAAAAGTGGGTGGGGTTCCTCCACCTGTTTTTGGCCTTTCCCCTCTGCCTCATAGCAGGCATGGATGACACAGTGCACAATATTTGGTCGGTACCCACCTTGATCTCTGAAGGGAGAAGCTTTTTAGAAGGTAGTGTGTGTTGAAAGGAGAGAGAAGGGTAAGGGAAAGATCCATTGCACAAACTCACTTTCCACTCTCATATCAATGGATGCAACCCTATAAAAATATGGTGTCCCTTGCACTTTCTAAAGATTGGGAAAATGTAAATAATAGGGATGGAGCATGCAGTGGTGGAGGAGGCCACTAGGGCATCTAGGGCAGCGCACTCAGAGCTGGGGTGAGCCGCCCATAAGGGTGGGATGCACCGCAGGGCCTCCAGAGTCTGCCCACCTCCTCCCACTCAGCCGCCCCACAGCTGGGGCGAGGGAGGCAGCGGGAGGACCGTTTGGGCAGCGCGGAGCCTGTGCACGCCCAAGCCACCGTGTCTCTCCCAGGAGAGATGCGTGGCTCAGGCACACTGCAGGCCCAGCGGTGAGTGCTGCCCGGCATTTTGTCACCCCCCTCAGTGGTGACACATGGTCCACAACCACCCTTCCTCCGCCCCTGGGTGGGAGCGTGACTCAGCAGTCCATGAGTGCATTTGATTGTTATGCAATGTGATGATAAGGAGGAAGGAAGCACAAGTGTCTTCCAATAGATAAGGAAAGTTAAGTCCATGCCTCTGGTTGACCAAAGATGCAAACATTGATGGACAGGGCCAAGGCAAACTAAAAGGTTTGGGGGTTTTAATTAACACTTACTATATAACTTAACTGGCTTTTTTTGCCTTGAGTAAAATTAGCAGATACCCAGAACTTATTTGCTACATAATGCTGTGATCAGGGGTGGATTTTGGTAATCTTTCGTAATATGGCACCCTATGCAAAGTCAAAAATTGGCGCACCCAAGTGGCACATAAATTTCTAATTATCTTTAAATGTTTTAATAGTTTTTTATTGATAATTTTATTGTTTCTTGTAAATCACTTAAGAGATTTTATTACAATCAAGTGATATATACATTTTGTTAAGAAATAAATAAACGTGACTGGTCCAAAAAAGTAGTGCCATAATTCAAATCAGTGGTTTTTTGCCCTCAATGACATCATAACATACTCAGATCTGGGCAGCACACAGAACTCTGTTGTCAGCCAAAATGTGACTCCTGGCTGGTTGGACTCAAGAAGGAGAAAGAAGACCTAAAAGGAACACCCCTGTAAGGGGAGGTAATTCCAGATCCCAGTTGTATTTTTCAACATTCAAACTTGGTGGTTTGACTTCCAAATAAGCAAGAATAAAATGAGGCAGGTCATTATACAAGCTTATGAGCATATATCAAAATCAGGCTGTCCTCAGGTGGGTAGATGAGACTAAAGGTATTTGTTTTAAAATGTCTAGTTACGACTCCCCAGATAAAACTTCAGATTTCTCCCTCTATTCAACAAAAATAATACATACCTTCCTTTTTCTGTTCCCTTTCCCCTCACAACACTCAATAACAGTTTTGCATAGGCCATGCCTGTAAAAGGATGAGTAAGCTGGGATGCCCCTCCCATGGCAAAATGAACCGCATAAAAGGGAATATGTCTGGATCTTATAATTGCAAGGAAAGCAAAGAGGGGAGTTAAGTGTGTGAGAAAAAGGAGATGTGTACAACACTCATCAGAAGTGGAAACAGGAAGGAAGGAAGGAAGGAAGGAAGGAAGGAAGGAAGGAAGGAAGGAAGGAAGGAAGGCGATTAAAATGAGGAGTGTTAGAAAGGTATAGTGGGCAAGTCTTTCTCCACCAGACCTCCCCATCGTCCAGGTCACAGCAGCACAGAAAACAGCCCCTCAGATCTCAAGGGAGTTTCAAGTTTCCACGTGGACTCAGATATCCAAACCTATACAGCAAAGATTGGTTTCCCGAAATTAAGGTACCTCTGCATGACACTGTCTGGCACTCAGAACGACTCAGAAGAAGAAGAAAAACATTTCCTCTATTTTATAGGAAAGGGGTGAGGGTCCTAAAGCAGCCTAATGGAAATTTGTAAATGCTCTGAAGGGCAGTGGTCTTGACAGCAGGTATTGTGTAGAGTTTTTGAATGTGAAGCCTATATATCAGCTCAGCCGTAACTGGCCAATTAGGTCAAGTTGCAACTCTGAGGACTACCTCATGCTATACTCATTTCAGACACAGAACATACTTACACATCGGAAATAGCATATAGCCTGTGTGTAGATCATTATCTATGTCCATCACAAACAGATAAATCATTGCATGGACACAAGATGGGAAAATCTGGGAATCTGGCCAAATGTGGCTTCTTGGCACATGTCCCGAAATCAAATATGTATTTCTTGGAATCTGTTACTTTCATGTTAGCAGCATCACTCATTATGTCGGAACCAGGGAAATGAAAGAGATTCTTTCCTTCGACAGTTCTTTTCAACATCATGGGGGCTTTCTTGGCATCCCAATATCTCTCTCTTTTTCTCCATCATTTAGTAGGATTGTATTATTTTCTTGATTTTATTGTCTTAACTCCCTGTCAACTGCTTCGACAAAGCAGTGTATAATTATTAGTAATAGTAATAATTTTGTTGCATTTTATTATTATTATCCTGCTTCATCTTTCGTTTAAAAATTATTTTAGCATATTAGATTTAATCACTTCCATCGTTGCACCTCTTGGGTTTCCTTATATTGCTATTTTTTTGCTGTACATCCCCCCCCCCCGACTCTTCCTGGAAAATTGTTAGTTGTCTAGACTTTTGTGTCATCTCTATCAAGTCTTATAATATGATTAATCAAAATGGTAACTGGATAAGGTCAAGTATAATCTAAATTATGCTTTTTGGTTTCAATACATACACACACAAGAATCTTCACACTCGCCAGTCTTCATGTGTGTTTTGTTCTCCACAATCCCAAATAACTTTATCTAGAGAAAATATGTTTGATGCACCCCAGGAGAGTCTTAATGAATATCTTAGGTGAACATGAAAAACTTGTCCTTCCCACCCTTATCCTTAAGTTTTTCCAAAACCCATTCCAACAGAAGAAACCCAGTTTTTGATTGTGCTTACCATCTCAGCACAGCAATTACTGAAGTTTTCTGGTGTTAGCATTTAAACGTCTTAGGAACAACTTTTGGCTTCATTCATTAGCCACCAACATTAAATTACCTTCTTTACTTTGCTTTTCCTCTGATTTTAGTTAATGAAATCCATCTTGCCCAGCTCCAGTCTCCTGCAGTCCATTCTACTCTTCAACTTTGGACTTTCCTCCATCCACATCCTTCAGTGTCTTTGTTACCCAACATGCATTGATAACTGGTTTGTATGACATCACTAGATTCCTCTTTAAGAAGCTGGGCACAAACTTTTAACAGGGCCTGCCAATGGCTATTTCATCCAACGCGGACTTTGCCATCCTGCCACCCTCTCAATATTTTGTACTACACCTCCCATCGGCTCCAGCCTGTCTGGGAGGTGTAGTTCAAAACGTCTGGAGAGCACCAGATTGTTGAAAGCTGTTCTAATGCATGGAACAGCACAAAGAGGTCACATTTCACCCACTTCTCTACAGTGTAGACTGGACTATAAACTTCTCAGTCCTCCAAAGGACTGATTCACATTTTTATTTCAGTAACCAGACATCCAGTGCCATTTTTTGTTATGTTAACCCCTTATTTCAGGAAATCAAGCTGTGCAGTTATGGATACTCTTAGAATGAGATACAGTCAAACCTCTTAAGCTACCCCAAACCATACCTAGACATTTCTCCCCCAAATCCTTGCCACCCCATTCTCCAACCTAGCAGCTTGTGGAATGCTTGCTGTACCCATTTGGCTTAGAGATGTGACTGCATCAAATAATAATAATAATAATAATAATAATAATAATAATTAAAAGGCTCTAAAGGTTACATTAAAAGGCATCTTTCAGTCCAAACTGGCAATGGAAACAAAAACCTTCTCTACCTTGCAGGTCAGCTTTGGTCAACTCAACTTTGTTAGCAAAAGAATGGAAAAAAGCGAAAACAATAAACCAGAGGTTAGTAAAATGGCAGATAAAACCGGGGTAACATCACTAAAAAGAAACAAACAAAAAAACAACTGGAATAACCAGCACAGCCCTTATGCACACTGAAGAGATTTGGGAGGGGTGACGCCACCAAAGACAACACACAGACACATCAGGAGAGAGGCAGCCATAAGGGCCTCAGTCCATCACTACCTGATCAACATCAATCCAAAACAGCAGACAACATAGCACAGACAAGGGAGGGGGGAGAGTAGACACATTTCTGAAGCACGGAACATCAGATGGAACATTAACGGCACATGATTCACCAATATTCATAAATGAAGCAGCAAACAATAGTGTTTCATTTCCCGCGAGGAGCCTCCCTATTCCCCAAGAAAAGCCTAGAGTCAATCGGAATCAAATTAAGTCAATATGGCTGCCAGTGAACCAATCTGGGTATTTCCCTCTGTGATATGCACACCCAGAATGGAAAGACAAAAGACTCCTTCCTCAGATCACCTCTCCTCACTGGGTTTTATCACTATGAGTTTTTATTTCTTTGTATTTTAAAAGCAAGATAGACAGTCCCATGTAAATGGCAACGTTTTCTCCCTTGTAAGATAGCACAATCACCAATTGTGGAAGATGACTCCATCTATGGGCTCCTGCTTACGGAATCCACTGTGTTCTGGAGGAAGTGAACATGATGGCGGTCACTGAATATGCAGGTGAATATTGCCCTGTCCACTTTCATATGTTCTGAATCCTACTCTGTTCCTAGATGGTAAAGTGGCAGCTGCCGCTAGGAAGATCTTTGCTCACCTGTCAGCTGTACCTTTTCCTGGGTGTAACGAGAAAGTTTATGATGTAGAGATATTCCCTTAGTATTAAGAAGTTGGTAGTTTCAAGGCTGCTAATGTGCCTGCCTTTATTGACATCAGATGACTCCATTCCTGCTGCCCCCCCCCCCCCCTTCTGCAATGGAGCCTAACTGAAACCAGGCACAATTCAAAATGCTGGTAATCACCTTAAAATCCCTAAATAGTTTGGGCCCAGGAAACTAAAAGGACCACCTGTTCCAAGATGATCCTTTTTCTCATTGGGATCTGCTGAGAGGACCTTGCTTGTACTGTAACTACAAAGGAATATTTCTCCCATGCCTTCCACCACTGTAACATTTAACACTTTTAACAGCCAATAGAGAGCAATCTTCATAATGCTTAAAAACTTGTTGCTTTGACGATATATGAAAACCTTGAAATGGCAATTACTTCTCCTTTGAAACTACTCTCTCTTCATCTCTTGACCAACACAATTAAGTATATTGATGAATATTTTAAAGGGACTTTTGAAAATGAGAGAGAAATATAGCATTTCCCCCACCTCCATAACTTCTTCTTTTTCCATTTAGCCCAATGATCAAATCAGTGGTATAGAGTCAAAAATACATTCTCTTATGAGCCAAACCCTAGACCAACTGCTGAATAGATTAAGGTCTCTTAAATCTAAATTGCAAAACTGGGGAGGGGGGCGCCATCCTCAAAAAGCCTTCTGTGCATTTTTCACAAGATTTAGTCAACATGGTTCCCTCCAGAGGTTGCTGGACTCCAACTCCCAACAGCCCCAGCCAACTTGGCCAATGTGGACTAGCTTTGCCTCTCCCCTCTCCCCAGCAATTGCCATTTCAGTCACCTTCCAACCTGTGAAAGATAATTATCTGAAGGGGGGACTTCTTGTATCCACGGAGACTTTGTGCATTTTAAAACCCCTGGAAAATCATGGATCTAACATATGTAGGGAGCTTCCATGGATATGGAAAGCTCCCTGCTTCAGAAAGTCACCTTGCATGAGTGGAGAGGATGAGAGAATACTGCAACACCACCATGATATACTGTATATCTTAGGTAATATAGTGTTATCAATATCAGCATCCACACTTTAATATTGGGCACAATAATGGTGGTGTTCTGAAGAAAGTCAATGTTCTTTGTTGGGTTCTGATGATTGAGTAAAAAATGGGGGGTTGGTTTCTCATAGCTACCTTTTGTGACTCATGACTTTGTTGCTCTGAGAACAAATCATATCTCTGGGCAGGCTGTATTTGCCGAAGTACAGTTTGTGCGTTAAAGACTGGAGGGTGGTCACAATGGAGATGGTAGTGATGGTGGAATGGCAACAAATGATGGATGACATAAGAATGAAGTCATAAACAGGCAGTAGACATGGAGACTCTCTCTCTCTCTCTCTCTCTCTCTCTCTCACACACACACACACACACACACACACACGAGTTACTCATTACAGAAAGTCTTAGTTCATTGCATTTTTTGTTCAGGATATCATCTAAAAGTGTCTTCATTCAATGCTACATTTGCTAGGGGATTATCAGCTGTTAAAATCAATGTCCATGGACTCAGTAAGTTGCACTTGACCCGTCAGATCAACAGAGGAGGGCTGGGTGGGTGCTTTCTTGTTTATTTTGAAGAGAAGAAAGATCTCGTCTTCTAAGCTTTTCTTCTTCCATTTAAAGGTAATATTATTCTTGCCAGCAAGAAGATTGATTACATTCCTTCCAAGGGCCCCAACTACAAATGTCAGCACAATCCATGCAAGGTGCTCATTTCTCTACAGAGCTGTTCTCAAAAGCCACAAAGTTCTGAACTCAAAAGATCCAGGCGATAACTGGGTGGCTAGTTCTTTCTTGAATTTTAAGATCTTGCTTTCTCTTGTGTTGCTGAAGTATTCCAAATAGAAATTTGAGGATGGCAGAAAGCTGGTAGCTCAGTGACAGAGCACCTTCTTTGTAGGCAGATGGGTCCAGGTTCAACCCACAGCATCTCCAGGTAGGACTGGAAATGTCCCCTTGAGAGCCACTGCCAGTCAGTGCATTCAGTACTGAGCCAGGTAAACCAGTGGTCTGACTTGGTATAAGGAAGCTTCCTAGGTTCTGCTGTAATTTGATTTCTAATTTCTCTGCTATTTGTCAATATGGGGACCATTGTGCATGGTGGTGCCTGTACATTTTGTGAATTTTTAGCTGGAGGAAAAAAAAGTTTATCAAGCATCTTAACTCTGAAATAGTTAACTTGAACAAGCCAAATTTGTTAGCACCAACTTTGTTTCATGCCTTGCACAGAAACATATGTGGCCTCTTCTCAGCGTATGTTTTGCATTGACAGGAAGATCTGGTTTTCCCAGCAGACATTTAGATGTTTTTTGTTTGTTTTTAAGTAGCAATATCTGACTTGTGGCTTCCAATTATGTTGCTATTTTGTGTGTTATTTATTGTTCTTATCCAGCTCCTTCAGACTTTCCTGTTAGCAACAGATATGGTTGCTGTCATTTCCTGCTGGTTTTCTATGTTGTGATAGGGGGGTTTTTTTGCATTTCACCTGTAGTATTTTATTTTAGGAGTTGATGTTTTTTACTTATGTGAGATGCCTGGGGTCCATCTCAATGAAGAAAGTCAGGATCTAAGTTATTAAAATACTTAGGTATATACATAAATGAAATGGGTCCAGCTTCCCCCCTCTTGTTTCCAGATAAAATAGTGATTCCAGCAGCCCCTATGGCCCGAAATGAAGGGCTGCAACTCAATGGCAAAGCATCCACATTGCCTGGTCCCAGGTTCAATCCCCAAAATTTTCAGGTAGAGCTGGGAGAGAGACTTCATTCTGAAACCTTGCAAAATGATTGCTAGTCAGTGTAGATGCTGCTTTTATGGGTGTGTTGACTCCCCTAAATCACTGGGTCAAATGGGTGCTGAGTCTAACGGGCGTTGGAGTTTAATCAGTGCTTGGTGTATTACAATGGGCTGCCAAGCACTGAATTTAGGAGTGTCAAAGTATAGGCCCAACCAGTTTTTCCCATGTGCAGGAAGCTGCCTGGGAGAAGGTAGGCCGTTAGCAGGGAACAAGGACAAAGAGATGGGCTATCAACAAAGGAAAGACTCTGAGCCAGCCAGAGAGTGGGAGAAGCCTCTTCCTGAGCTCTGAGACAGTAAACAGAGACAAAAGGAGAGCAGAAGGTTTAGGATTTTGAGGGCACAGGGAAGTGTCCATCTGCTAAATGCAGCGAGCTGGGGAGGGGGTGTTTGAGCACAATGTGGGCTCCCAGCCATGAGAGAGACAGGACCCTCTTGGAGTGTGATAATTTGATCCCCTCCTTTGTAGATTCAGGTTGTATATATGTCATAAAAACACCACAGTCTCTGCTGTGCATCTTTCACAAAAGGAAACATAGACCTTGGAAGAGTCCGTTTGAAATCCCTGGAATCTCATACCATTTGGCTTGGACCCTAATGGGCTGGATGAATTCTGCATAAGGCAGTTTCCTATGTTCCTACAATAAACTGCTGGTCAAGCAATCTTCTTTGCTATAACTGCTTCTGCTAATATGGTGTGTCTGTTGTGACCAAGTCATTTTCTTATGCGGCTGAGAGTGCTCAGGTTTTTATGTAACTAATGCCAAGAATGTTATGATTTGATACAGCCTTTCTGCCTTAAATGCCACTCATGACGATTATGTCATCCCACAGCTGAATACCTAAGGGCTGTGTGATAACCACCAGCTAAGGCTTGGATTCCTCACAGCTGGATGCAACAAAGCCCTTGGCTTTGCTAAAATACCTTTACAGGAGCATCTGAGCTGCCTGAAAAGCACTGATCAAACATTTAACAGGATAAGGAAGTAGCTGCCAAAAGCTTCTGGGTCAACTGCTGAAAAAAAGGCATTGTACAATGAAATCACATCCAAAGGACCATCCACAAACTCAGTTCTTCCTTAATTTATATCTCAAATTTTCAGCTAAAGATTTAAACCCAGGCTGGGCTATGCACAACATTCCTCTAAAATGTCCTTTCCCCCCATAGTACTGGATCTGACAATTTATGCATTAGGTGGTGATTTTTCCTCATCTATGCTGTCACCTTCACTAGCTGTTCTCTTTATTCTTTAAGATTCAGTGTAATATTACTGAGCAGAGCTTAAAAGACGCAAGGAGCAATCTTATACGGAACCAGATCAATGGTCCATCTACTACACTATATTTACATTGGTCTTCCCCAACCTGGTGCACTCCAGGTATTTTGGCTATGCTGGCTGAGACTGATGGAAGGTGTAGTCCAAAACATCAGATTGGGGCAGGCTGATCCGTGCTGACTGGTGGGGGTCCAAGGCAAAGTCCTTTCCCAAAGTTGCTGCTTGAAACTTTTGAACTGAAGTTGTCCCTGACTGAACCTGAGACCTCATATATGTAAAAACAAGCATTCCACCTCTGAGCTATGAACTCTGCCACTTTGAGCTGTGCTTGTCTTTTTAAATATGGTTAACATCATTTAAAAACGAAATTGGGCAACCAGGAGGATATCTGAAATCCTCCCGGTGCCAGAAAGTTAAATAATCAGTCTTCCATAAAATTATATATATTTAAGAATATTAAACACTCATTGTGAGCAGCCAGAAACTATTCTAAGACTCTTACAGGGACCCATCTCTCAAAAGAAAATGTTGTGGGCCACTAAAAGGATTGTTTAAAAAGCCTAAGTGTGAAAGGGGGCCTCTTCTAAACATAAAAGCAATGTCCAACATCACATGAATGGCCATGATTATATTTCCCTTTCTTTCTCCTCCCACCAGCACGTCCCTGAGTCCCCATGTGCCCTTAGGGGTCTCCCAACACTCTAGAAACTGCAGTGGAGGAGAAGAGAGGGAAACTCAAGTTATGCAAGCAGAAGGCCATTGTGTAAGTGGACTGACACCACCGGATGTCACCCAAAGAGTATTTTCTTTTTTCTGAGGACTCAGCAATGGCAGCGATGTTCTGTTTCTCTTGTTTGATACTGAGAGATTATCTCCTACCTGCCTTCTTCACAAGCCTTTGTCTGTTCAAGGACAAGTGTTTTCACAAAAACCTTATCACCCAGATTTCTCTTTCCAAACCATTCTATATCAAAACACTGCACAAAAAGACACTGTCTCAAAGCTGTATGTCATTTATTCCAAAATCATATAAAATTTGAGACTGCTGGTGGGGAACACAGTCAACCTGGCCATGGGATCCACAGACTCTCAGAAAGGCCAGTGGGAGATTACCCAAAACATACAGGAACAGACCAGTAAAATAATGGTGAGACATAGAAGTATAATTTGGCACTCTATAGAATATGAAAGGCAACTATGCTGTACGGCAACTTGTGGAGTCCAATGCAGGGTTCAAGAACTTTTGATTATACCAGATTATAAAATCTGGCATCAGAGAGCGTTAAATGGGTAGGAAAAACTGAATAATCAGGGAAGTAATGTTCAAGGCCTCTTTTCTTTTACTCCCTGTCATTGCTCTCTTTGACCAACTCACAGTGCAGAAGCATTTCCAGCTGTCTCCCTGTAATAGACACAATGTTTGAATTGGTCCCAGGGATGTGATGTAAAAGAGAACTTGGTCTCAAAGCATGGTGATGTCTTTGCTAAGGAGGTTATCAAAAGCTTGATGCTCAGGTGCAGATCTGGACTGTGGCATATGACTATACCCTAGCAGTTAATCAGAGCTGGAGTGGTGGCAGTAGGGGCCAGCATGGGAGGGTCGAGCCATCCTTCAGAAACCAGCTTCACTGCAGCTTACCTGTGCAACAGTGGAGCAGGACAGTGGGAAGGTTGGGGTTCTGCAGACACACTGGTGGGAGCATGGATTGGATTGGTTCTGCTGGTGTGCCTCCACAGTACTGACTTCAGCACTGCCTTGAGCCAGTACCACCCAGGTAAGCTGCAGCAATGTCGTGTCAGGAGGACAGCTCCACCCCAGCACACGTTGATGTTTATGTGTGTTGTGTGACTTCAATTTCTATGTGGGTTGCTTTTGTGTTGGGCACCTCCTAAATGTTTGTGCGTCTTCCATTCTGGAGAGACACACAACATGAATGTCAGGGGACTGCCATCGGAACAGGAGAGGGAGGCAGGGGGATACAGAGAGCTTCCAACACTTCTGAGGAGCAGCCCCTCATCCAGCAGTGGGGAGAGCCACACCTCCAGTGGAGCAGAGGGGGAAGGGGGCAGCCAAGCGAGGGGAGGGCTCAAAGATGCTACTGAGAGCCCAAGCGCCTCCCTAGCCCGGCTGGACACGAGGCAGACACGCCGTTTGCCGTTTCCGTCACCCAGCTTGCGCAGAGGGGTGAAACGTAAGGAGGGGAGGCAGAGATTTGGGGTGTCTAAGTTCTTATGTTGGGGGAGAAACCAGAAGGGGCCACTCCCGGAATCTGCAAGTGACTAAGACAGACATGAACTTTGTGGTTCTGCACTGTAAATAGTTTGCACCAATAAAACCTGTAAAAGACAGGTTGGAGTCCTGCCTGGTTACTCACGAGCAACCACCACTAGCACCTGACAGTACCCAAAAAGGAAAGCTACATTACAACATGGAGTGTTTCACAGTCACCTCTCATTTCTTTTGCACACCCAAGCTGGTTACAATCATGGAGGGTGAATGTGGATGGCGATGGAGGAGGAATGTCACAACAAGCATCTATGGAGGAAATATGTGGTGGTGATGCAAAGAGCAGCATGGAGGTAGGGAGGGCTGTGTGAGAAGGAATGGCATTTTAGGTAGGCTGTACCTTCACATCCACGCTCAATCTGCCCGCTGCGGTGAAGAGCATCGTTAATAAGATCTGGCAGGCGCCCGTTCAAGTCCACCGATGCCAGGCAGCCTTGAAACCCATCACGGGATGCTACCAACTTGGGGAGGTTGCTGTACATTCCTTGAACCAGGCCAGCAATGTAAAGATCACCTGGAGGGAACCAAGTAAAAGGCAAAGGAAAAGGTTAAGGCAAACAGTGAAGTTATGAGGTTGCATCCAATGTGTTCTGCTCACTCAAGGGGACTTCCTCTCACACTCCTCTCCCCACATGAACGGGTGACTGTGGGGGAGAGGAAGGGGAAGGGGATGCCTGTTTTGCAAGTGGAACAGCAGCACAGGATATAACCCACAGGGTGCCCAGCACTTAGGATGCATTCAGACATGGGGAATATTGGGTTTGTTTTCCCGATTATAATGCTATAACGGTGTCCCATTATTGAATGTTCTTTTCACACGGCAGTGCCTGTTGCTTTGTGGAACTGTGACTTTTTGACCAATACACCACTGTGTTGCACCAAATTGCTCCCAAGGATGTATCAGCTCTTCCATTAACAAGCCCTCTTGGATCCACTTGTTGAGATTTGTGGTTTCCCTGCCAAAGCAGCTTTGTGTGTGAGACCAGGAGAGGCAGCCTTGTGCAGGCTCCCCAAGCACCTTTCATGGCATTGAAACGAGAACTTTGGGCATGTCAACTTCAGCACCTTTGGCCCTGGAAAGTGTTTCTTCTTAAGTTTCCTAACCGAACAGCAAAACACGCACCAGTGAAAAGATAGAGGGAAGAGCTGCCCACAGAAGAACAGCCTGCTGATTTGATTTTCTTCTCGGTAGTGGCGCTTGGCCTGTGGAACGCCCTCCCATCAGATGTCAAGGCAATAAGCAACTATCTTACTTTTAAAAGACATCTGAAGGCAGCCCTGTTTAGGGACGTTTTTTACTGTTTAATGCTGTATTGTGTTTTAATATTCGGTTGGGAGCCGCCCAGAGTGGCTGGGGAAACCCAGCCAGATGGGCGGGGTATAAATAAATAAATTAGTAGCAGTAGTAGTAGTAGTACAAATGACTGTCTGTTATAGAAATAGGGAGCTATTTTACTCAACGTATAAGACTAGGAAGGAAAATGCAAAATATGAATCAAGACAACTTTCAACATATACCCAAATTTATGTACACTAAATACAACTGTAACAGTTTTAGCCATATCTATATGGCCTGAAAGACCCACTGGAGGATAGGACACACATTGGTGGTGGTGGGGAACTCATGACAGAGAGACTCATGAAAGTCTAGCCCAGTGGAAAAGTTCTAAGGTTCTTATATTTGTTCATTTTAAAAGACTGAGGCTTGGATTTTGAAAACTCATCACATGTAAAAACTGTTCTTGAATTAGAGCATTTCAGACTGCAGATGGGAGATCACACAATTCACTGTTCTCCCATATAAAATCTGCCTTACAACTAGATGCCAGAGTAAAGGGGGTTTGCTCACCATTCTGTTTCACCCATTAACATTTAGGAATGGAAGAATCCATTTTAAATGGATTTATACACAGAATATGGTAGTTCCAACCTGTTTGTGTTTTGTCCATACTGAACTGCCTCTTGCATCAATGAATTCAAGTTACAATAAAGAAGAATTATGTGCTGGTTACTTTGGGTAACCTGGAGTGTATATGTGTATAATGCACATGTAACATGCATATAATGTGTACAATATATGGTAACTGTTTGTATCTTTAGTGGAACACAAAAAACCTTGCTTCTCATTTAGATCAAGAAATGAGATGAAAATTAGAACAAGAAGAAATCCATGTGGATAAACTCAAAATGATTCTTTTCAGAAAATTGCATCCCTACTAGTTCTGTATGTGTAGAGCGCTGTGTGGTATGAAATTGTGTGTGTGTGTCTTCTTGAGGAATTTCTTCTTTGGGAATTCCAGTAGGAACTAACCTAGTCTGCACCTCTTGGACCAATATGCAGATAAGAATTTAGCTGCCCTCCAAGTTTCACAGTGCGCAAGGCAAGGTTCGGATGCGGTTCTCATCTCAAAAAAAAGCTTATCAAAATACAGTGATAAGAAATGCATATGCAAAGTAATGTCCATTCCAAATAGCACCTGGCTTTTAAATGTGGGAGGTCTCTCCAAGACCTACCACCTAATTTGTTTTTGACTGGAATTGCCAAGGATTAAACCTGGTGCAAAATGGTGCATCATGAATACAAAGAATATATTTTACCTGATCTGGTAAGATCCAGTTACTTACCCTTAAGGTCAAGGTTTTTGGCACCATTGATGACCTGAGTAACAACCCTGGTGTCCACTTTTAGGCTGTGGGTGTTGCTGTTGTCTCGGGAGATGACTACATTGTGCCACTGGTTGTCATTCAAAGGCCGGTCACTATTGCCTTTGATGACATTAGGTCCATTCCCAAGGTCAAACACGTAGTGTATATACCTGCAAATGACACAAGTGCCTACTCAGAAGAAAGCCCAGAATGAAAATGAATTAATGGCTAAGACACAAAAAAGATTCAAAACATCTGCAACAGTCTGCTCTAATTTTCTAACCAAAATTCCAGATGGTCTTAATGAGTTGTCCATGGTCAAAGAGCAGAATAAGAAGCTTCATCAGGACAGGTCATATTTTATCCAACTTACCTTCCCAGGAGAAAGAAGAATATGAATTTATAGTCAGACTTGTGACGGCACAATTGCCTACATGGATTGACCAACCTACTCCCAGAGACAACATAATATCTTACTTACCCCTTGACCAGCTCAACTGCAATGAAATCATTTCCATCACCACTGTTGAAAAGGATGAAGCCATCAGCAGAGGTTGTCTTGAACTGGAAGAACAGGTGCATGGAGGTGTAGGCCTGCAAAGTTGCCAAGCTCAAGTAGCTGCTCTTGGTCTTGAAGGTGACAGGGTCCGCAATGATGTTGCGCAGCCCAAAGCGGGCTTTCAGTTCACAGTAATCAATGTCACCATTCTTGCACAAGTCAATGTAGAGAAGGCCATTGAACATGAGGCTCTGGAGGTGGCCAATGAAGCTGGAGGGAATGACAGAGATATAACGCTTCTCTGTCATTATCCCAGTCTCAATATTGTGGAATTCCAAGCGGGTGTGGTCACCAACCATAGTACCTGAGGATCAGAAAACAGTAAATAAAGCTGAAAAAAAAAGTTCTGCAGCTAATAGGACTGGTAATATGAGGCCTGCCTCCAAGGTATTACTCTTGGTTAAGGTTTCTAATACAGTACTAATGACCATTTTCTGTTCTTGCCTCTGTACTATGGAATGTCCTTCCCTTTTCCATACATGAAGCAGCCACCATCAGTTGCTTCAGGCATCTTGTAAAGATACATATTTTTTCTCCAGGCTTTCCCTAAGACATAAGATCAGATCTGGCTTTATGTGTTTCAACTCCCTGAATTTGTATTTAATGGGGGTTTTTATGCTTCCATGTGCTCTTATATTAATGCTTTATTAGTTCTATGAGGTATTTTTGCTTTAATTATATTATTTGTTTTGTACTGTACACCACTTAAGAGATTTTAAAGAAATTATTAGATGCTATGTAAATACTTTTAAAAGGGAGGAAATAAGTTATAATGTAGTGTGCATGTTACTGCTGCCAATATCTCCTTTCCCTTTACTCTTGGTGGGGAAAAAGTTTTGCAAACTGGATGAAAGACCTGAGTACTGGGTTGCCTATTCCACACAGCCCAAACTGGGTTGGAAATAAGTCTCCCAGGGCTTGTTATAGAGATAACCTCAATGAAAGCCTGGGCAAGCTTAAAAGTGCAATGGAATCTCATCAGCACTCCATATATCTATCACCTGCTGTAACTATCAGAACCAGAAAGCCACTATTTTTAATAAGCATTAAAAATCAAGTTTACAAATTAAAATGTGCCGTGTGGTGAATGCTCCAATCTATAATGTGCTCCTGCATTTACATTAACCTCCACAAATATCCAACAATACTCCTTCTTTAATCCTTTAGAAATGACATGTTCTTAATGACAGCTCAGCCAATTCTTGAAATCTGCATCAGAAAAACCTGTGTATGTTTTGCCATCACAATCTACTATTTATTACTTGAGCTGAAGTGCTACACTGTATGCTGTGTGATGTTTTCATGCTTTTAAAAACAGCATACCTTAACTCCCAATAATATATAGTAATAATATAAGCCCATGGCATTGTATGGGAAGGCTAATACCTGTGTTCCACAGGAAAGTCTAGCATCACTTAGTTCCTTCCTGGTTCTTATTACAGTGGTACCTCGGGTTAAGTACTTAATTCATTCCGGAGGTCCGTTCTTAACCTCAAACTGTTCTTAACCTGAAGCACCACTTTAGCTAATGGGCCTCCTGCTGCCACCACGCTGCCGCCGATTTCTGTTCTCATCCTGAAGCAAAGTTCTTAACCTGAGGTACTATTTCTGGGTTAGAAGAGTCTGTAACCTGAAGCGTATGTAACCTGAAGCGTATGTAACCCGAGGTACCACTGTATTGTTGAACCAAGGTTTGGCTTAGTGTACCATCTGATCAAGGACTCAAGGCTGAAAGCTTTTGCTGTGTACCTGCTTTACAGACTGGGCTCATAATGGTCTGGTTCAGTTAGCTTGACCAGCGCATTACTTGAATGAGTGGTTGGGTGTTTCTTTCTCTTTAAGACGTGTCTCCCAACTACAACTGAGAGACTGAACTCAGGACTGTAAAGGACATTTTTCAGCTGCCAAACTGTTGCTAAGTGTGCAAACATTGAGCTGCTAAGAGATATGGAATACCGGGGGGCCACTAGGGGGCGCATTGGAAGATGGCCGACAATACCATCTGTCCGACCCACACGGGGTAATTAAGAGGCTGTTATGGGAGTAGGCAGCCTCCCTTGTTGCCCCAAGGAAATGGGGAACACTGCCCTTGCCTGCTGTGCCCATAAATCACCCCCTAATTTGAAAGAAGGGGGTGAGGGCCCTAGGCAGAATGCCCCCGTGTGGATCTCAGCTCTCCTGGACGCTGTCTCTGATCGTGCACTAGCTGCAGCAATTTAGAATAATTAATTACAAAAGAAGCAAATGCACATATTTCAAGTGAAGAAGGGGAGTGAAGTCTGCTAATTTAAGTGACCTCTGCGAAAGAAGACGACGGGTTGGAGAAAAAGGAATATTTTACGATGAAGATACACCAAAGGTGTATGTTGACAACGGGACTGAATGGGGGGGGGACCTTTTTTACTTTCCTTCTATGTGATTTACAAGAACCCCTCCTCATTAGAATCGTCGGTTGAACTGACCCAAGCAGGATGATTAAGGTCTGTGTGGAGATAAACTTTAACCAAAAGTATGCTTTATGGAGATCGAGAAGCAATAAGAGCTTTTGGAATGGCGCAGCAATTAATTCGGAGTCGCCATCTTGCCAAAGGATTTATAGCCAAGAGAAGGAACGGACTTGTTTTCAGACTGCATTCCTGGTGAATCTCCTCAGAGGTTTTGAGAAAGGAGGCAGATTGGTGAAGATTAATGACGCTAAGACTGTTTTGATGTATGGAAGTGATGTTACATGGAAAACGTCTGGATATGGCTACTGGATAAAAATAATAATATCCACGCAGGATTACAAACTGTCTAACCAGCTTGTGGAGACTATCAGAGGTCACAAAGAGAAAGGAAAAATATATGAAAATAACAACAAGAGATGTGGAAAAACAAGAAGAAAGGACTGGATAGTACTGTGAACATCATAAGGTTAGATTTGTGGACATTAAAACAGCAGTAAGAAGCAAGAAGTTGATTGGATCCCTTCGGAACTTGAAATATGGGTACCCCCAACAAAAATTTAAAATTCGGCTGTGTAATTTGGAATTTATGTAATTTGGTTTGATTTGATGTGATTGGTCGGTTAATAAAAAATTATTCTTAAAAAAAAAAAAAGAGATATGGAATACCAGACTTTGGGGAGTCAGTAAGCAAAGAGAAGATAAGGCATGGATTAGCAGCTGGCTGGTGGATTTTGGGAAAGTAGGGCCAGACTCATATCTCCACACAGCTCCTTGGGCCAGCCACTACAATGCTGTTCAGGTGTTTAATCTGAATGAATGATGGGGTAAGCAGGACAGTGTGAAGCAAGCTTCATCCCCACTGATGTATGGCATAACTGGCATTAATCTGAGGGAATTGCTTTTTTCAGGGACAGGAACCCAGAATGACATGAGGTGCAATTGAGACAGCCCCCTTCAAGCACAGGCCAATCACATCTTGGGCCAGGGAGTGCATCATCATAAAGGGAGCAGGACTTGCCACATACATTCCTGCTGGTCCCTTCATGGGTCCAACCTGAATGCCTGAAAAGGGCTTACTTCTCAAACCGCCTTACAGGTTTGTTGAGAGTATAAAATTTAGCCCATTTTTCTCCTTGGAGGAAGGGTGCAGGGCCAGCACATCCATTAGGTGGGGTGATGGAATTGTCTCAGGCAGCAGAAGCCCCTAAGGCAGCACCCTGGCAGATACCTTGCCTGCCCTGCCACCCCCACCACTGCCCAAAGTCGTGTGAAGTCTTGCACAATTTCAGTGTGATCTCACTTGAAATTGGGAGGCAGAGGCAGCAGGGTGGCACATCCTGTTTTGGTTTCAGGAGGCAAAATAGGATGTGCATCCACTGGAAGGGTGGGATATGAATGAATGGTCTTCCATGTTACAGACTTCTCCAAAGACCCGTCCAACATTTTGGAATGTGCCATGCTCCACGCTGGAGTGAAGGACAGGGATCAAGAGTTCCCCGGGACTGCCAACTCCCTACAAAAGTCAGCCTAACTTAAAGTAACTTATTGCTGTATAGCAGGGGTGTCCAACAGGTCAATCACTATCTACTGATCAATAGTGGGGTGTCCGTGGTAGATCGTGGTCAATTGGGGGACCCTGGCCACCACCACCCCAAAAACAAATTTGGCTCCCTAAAAAAAGCTCAACAACTTTACAACTTTGGTCAATCTCATGGGTAGATCATTGCCAGTTTTTTTTATAGTGGGTGTAGATCGCAGTGTCTTGAAAGTTGGACATGCCTCTGCTGTATAGAATCAGATCTTACAGATGCAAACAATTCAGAAACGCTTTAGAAATAAATTGCCCTGCTTCCCAGTCTGAGGATTGTCAATTAAATTATCAAGGGCAAGGGGATGAAGAGAGGGAGGGAGGGAGGAAAGAAATGTGATGACGAAGTCATAAGAATGATAATGTGCTCGAGAGTCATCCTGCTGCTTTTCGCAAGCAGAAATAGCTTTACCCTACTGTCTGATATTATTTTGGTTATCATTTGGTCCTGCTCAGTGATGTGGCAGGGGGTAAGGCAGAAGAAAGCAAATGGATAAAGCAGCCTCATTAACTTCAGATGGCAAATTACCTCTCAGTTTGGGCATAGCATGTCTCTATGCTGGTCTTTAATTATTTGCTTCTAGAAAAGCTCTAATTAAATTACTTCAACAGTATTCACACAACACACTCACAAAACTATACGGCTTCATTGTTAGATGCTAGAGCAGAGCCAAAATTTCACAGGATAATCCCCCCCCCAATAATATTTCTTTTCCCCCCTCTCCTCTAGCAAAATATTATCCACACTGTTCTGCAAGGGGGAACTTTCTTTCTTTCTTTCTTTGGATTCCTTACTTACCATTCACCCAGAGCAGGTCACAACAAATTTTAGGAAACCATTTTGACACTGCTTTGTTACACATGCATATCTGTTTATTTATCAATATGCAGATGCCCTCCATGGCTATGTCATGTAGATGTTTATTTATATCCTCACTTGCATGAATAATAACTTACATATTTCAATATGTAAGATTAATTTAAAGTGGTTTAGGATTTCACATTTGCGTTCATAAAGCTAACAATTATGGACTCTAAATTCCATGCACACATTCCCCCCCCCCAGCAAGCATGGCTGTGCAAGGCAGTGTGTGCCATCAAGCGGCTGTGCCTCAGCACTGCACCCTACTTAGCACTGATACTTTTCCAACATAGAGGTAGAAGACTGCAGTCCTAAACATGTGCACAGGATCGTCTTATGTAAAGCCAGTAATTTACATTTCTACCAGATTTTCCTGCAAAAATTCAATACTTTGAAATTATAGGATGGCTATTTACATTCCATATTTCTCTCTCCTGCTCCATTTCACTCTATTTAAACTCTCTTCTTCACAAATTTTAAGCCTGCCACTAGGCTAATAAAATGCACACTTACAAACTTGGATTTTAACCGCTTTATGTTTCAAATCTTTTCTAGATGTCAGGAAAACATCCTATGGGGCACAATCCAATAGTTACGGAATTCTGAGCCGCCTTCCTGAGTTCAGAACAGTCACAAAAGATAATAGGGCATGTCTGGGATGTCGGAACTACAGATGAATTAAGAGGTGCAGTAGTAGGAAACCACCACTGGCTGCATTGTAACCCCTCTGATGGGCGGGGTACAAATAATAAATTATTATTATCATCATCATCATCCCTATCAAGGAAGTATGACAAAATAAGCACAGAAGCATGGTATCCTTTCCTGTTCCCACCACTGTTGTTAAATGGGATTAGTCTGAGCCTTTGCCCTTGGTTCAGATGTTTACCGAAGCTGATTACCTTGTTCACTATGGTGGAGAAGTGAGCATCTCCGTCACCAAGCTAATAAAGTGTATGTGATTCAGATGTTCCATGCGCCTCTTTTCATGGAAGCTACTTGTATAATTTGGGGTTCCTATGCTTCACATTACACTGTGAGCATAGTGTTAGGGACAATGGCATCCACCTGGGAACAGCATTACTGGGTCCAAGCTTTGTCCTAATTATTGGGGAAACGGGTAGTATTAAAGGTAAGGCATGGCCAAAGGTGCGAAGTGACAGAACTGTTATGTAACTTAAGTCTTCTGAATCAAAACGAGAAACCCATGATGAATCGCCCACTCACCTTCGGCAACATCATCATCCACTGTCAGCTTGAGACTCTTTCCCCGACGTACCACACGGACTGTGTGCCATTCATTGTCATTGAGTTTCTGCCCAGCATAAAGCGTCTCAGGTCCTTTACCTGGGGACAGTGGCAAGTAGAAGCAAAATTTAAGGCCACATCTGTTGCACAGTAAAAGCCTGCCTAGTTGGAAAAGTCACTGAAATCATCTTGGTGTGATGATGGTGCAAAAGCTAATTTGTTAAAAAGTGGTACAAATTACATTTGCATGCCTTGCCCACTTAAAGCTGAATGGGGATTGTTATTCCCTTCTCTCTAAGATATTCCTTACCTATCTCAGCCCCACATAGTTTCAGAGGAAGACTAAATGTTCCCTCTTACTTTACATCAGCAAACTTCACTGCAGTGCTAAAGGATCATAAAACCAGTGGATAAGTCAGTAGGAAACTGAAATGACAATGTTTCTGCTTTGAGGAGAGAGGAGAAGGAACCTATTCCCCATGGAAAGTAAACAACTCTTCTATTTTTCCCAGTGATCATACACACCAGGCTGAGTTCTGCAAACACATCTCCAGACGAGGTCAAGCATAAATGAGCCCCCAGCAATCCCAACATTACCCTTACACTGAACAGCCCAGCTACAGATATTACCATCTCCAGAATAATCAGTCCAAACTCCTCCTTTTCCTTTGTTAATTGGGACTTTTTAGGTGCTTTCCTTTCTGTGTAATGAAGTACCAAGCATAGATCCTCGGGTAGACAATGCTCCTGAAGGAAAGCCAGGCTTGCAATTCTTTCTGGCTCTCCATTCTCAATAAATGCTTATTGCTTGCAAATGGAAGTCCTTGTAGAACGGAGATCAGGGAATCACTTGTGGTTCAAGGGGTGCATCAAACACCCCAGACCACAGATATAAACAAGGCACATAATGCTCAAGCAGCATCAATAGAAGTTAAAAAGCCTAAGCTACAAGTAAGCTAGCAGAAGGTGCTGGTTCTAATGGAAAGCTGAATCAGGACTTTGCAGTAAATTGTGTTTTAAAGGTGGCTTCAAGTGAGATGTCATCTCTGTCCAAGAAGTGATCAAGGATAGCAGACTGAGCATAGCTTTACTGGCACACAAACACCAAGAAGTGGCTCTAGATAGATGGTTTCTTGGCACGGTGCCTAGATTTGAATGCTCAAAGTGGAAGACTCCCATTTATAGAAATATATTTGGAATTAATTGTGTCGTTCATGTAGTAAATGCATTAGTCCTGGATCTACTTCAGTGGTTAATTGGGCAAGTTAGGATAAGGGTAAACAGCATCCTGCCACGAATAAAAATCCATCCTGCCATCAGTGAAAAAGGCAGCAGATCTGGCTTGGACATTTTAAGGGCAAAGAAATTCAAATTTTCTCCTTCATTTTTCATTTGAAAAAGTAGATATTTAGCAAATGTGTTTTGAAAGAAGGCCCCTTGGGACTAAAGGTGTGAGAATTCAAGCCACACAAGCAAGAAAACAAACAAAGCGAAATATTTGAAGTCAGTGGAATCAATTGGGATGAATGCAAGCAGAGTTTAGTTGTCTCTATTATGAAAGGACATACAAGATTTGTAATTGGTTTCAGCATACAGGACTCCTTACATAATTGCAACAACCTGGCAAGTGCATTGGGGATGCTTCCCTACATGCCATGTAGGGGATAAATAACACGCAGGGCACAGCTGTGGGTGAAAAACAGGCCAAAACGTTTATTGACTATAGTGTGGAAAGCAGGGTTGGAATGGCATTGGGCCGGGATCCACTAGTCCCCTACAATATTCAATCTGAAGCCCATTACATCATCCCAGCACTCCTGCTGGAGAATCCCATGGGAGCTGACCAGCATATAAGGACCATGGTCTATATTATGCTCCTGGAATCCCGCTGATAACCTGACACGAGTGGCATCAGGCCCAGCCCACCTCAGCTTGGGCTGAGAACTGGTTTACTTGAGGGTTCCCCTTATGTTTAGATCCTACCCAGTGACATTTCTGCCACAAGAGCGGGTGAGCTGTCAAAAGCTCGCTACTGGCCACTCCTATCACTGCAACCAGTCTAGCACTCTGGAGCACAGATCTTCTAGCCACATGCCATTGCGTGCCTCTGAGAGGTGAACCCCCTGAAAACAGAAGTTCAAGCGGTTTTGCCGTTATTGATGGGTAGCTAATCCTGAGATTAGCCATGGTTTTCCCAGTAGTGATGTATGGAAGTGAGAGGTGGACCATCAAGAAGGCTGATTGCTGAAGAATTGATTCTTTTGAATTATGGTGCTGGAGGAGAGAGTCCCATGGACTGCAAGGAGATCAAACCTATCCATTCTTAAGAAAATCAGCTCTGAGTGCTCACTGGAAGGACAGATCATGAAGCTGAGGCTCCAATACTTTGGCCACCTCATGAGAAGAGAAGACTACTTGGAAAAGACCCTGATGTTGGGAAAGATGGAGGGCACAAGGAGAAGGAGACGACAGAGTACAAGGTGGTTGGACAGTGTTCTCGAAGCTATGAACATGAGCCTGACCAAACTGCGGGAGGCAGTGGAAGACAGGAGTGCCTGGCATGCTCTGGTCCATGGGGTCACGAAGAGTCGGACACGACTAAACAACTAAACAACAACAACAATCCTGAGACCACCCTACGTTGCCACAAAGCCTATTAATTTGCTGCCCAGGTGCCTATATGTGGTCTCCACTCTTGAGGTCTCTGCAGCCATGCTAACCACCACAGGGACATGTTGGAAACGTCACTTTCAGGCTGGTGAGAACTAGTGATGGTGGATCTGAATGGCCCTTTTAAAGATCCTGCCAGGCCCCATGAGAGGAGGAAGCCCACTAAGATCCCAGGCAGGGCAATCAACTACCGTTTCCCCAGTCATGGCAGCATCCAGGTCACCCCACAATCTGGCTCCCACTTTCATCCTTTAGATGTGATACTTTGGAGACCATGCTCCTTATCAGTATTCCATATAAAATACATTCGTAACGCAGCTGGGGCCAAATTTTTACATTGGTGGCAGCTAGCGAAAAAGGAGAATGATATGGAGATTTTACAACCATTCTTCTGTGTTCAGCCAGCTCTGCTTTTCTGATTAGAAACAAAACTGTGTGACTTCTTTGACTTTGATAAGCAACGGCAGGCTGACATTCAGCAGATAAATAAATAAATAGCACATTGGCACCTAGTTGCACCTTTGCACATGTCCACATGACCCCAGGTTCTTTCTTTCAGTGTGGCAGCAATCCCATGCTTTAGGATCAGGGGTTTTGCTCTCAAAAGATACTGGGGAAAATAAATAAATATGCCAGCTACCGTTGCTTTCTAGAGCATAAATGCATTCACAAACAACAGAAATTCAAAACTAATAGCCCTGGGGTGAGGGAGAAGAGAGAAAGGATTATTCTGCCTTCAAAGGCTTTCTGGCTGTTTGTGGAATATTATTTGCAAAGAGCTGATTTTAAATCATTTTAGATTTATCTGTCACTTCTTTCTTCTTTATCACCAGGCTTTGTTGTTCTCTTTTGTTTTAGTGGCTGTTGATTTTGCTCTCTGGAAGACATCTGCAGCGGGGTGGGGGGGGGAGAGAGAGCTGTTTTTCATCTGTGATCACCTGCTGTAAGTTCCTGCTCAACATCACCTTTCTCAGCATTACATCACAACTGTTTCCACGGAAACAAAGTCTAATAGAAGAAGCAGAAGAAGAAGAGGCTGGAGTAGCCAGCCCAGGTGGACTGTCAAAATGAAATAAAAGTCAGAAACACCTTGCAGCCTTTCCCCCACTCATAGATAGTTGGCATTAAATAATGAGGGGGGGGAATGGTGCGCATTGCCCTAGAAGGAAGCTGAACTCCTGGAGACACTTTCTATTTTTAAATGTTTTTGATGAGATGGCAGCTGGTCGTTAGGCTCCCCCCCCCCTTTTCTTTTTGGTTGCTCATTACTTAATTTTTATGAGTGAGTACAAATAAGAGGCAGGAAGATTAGCATATAGCAGAAAGCAGAATAATGAGAATTGTGCTTTAGCCATAGATTAACGACGAAGGTGCTGGAGTGAGGGTTGGAACGGCTACTGTTGTCAGGGGAGCTTTCAGCTTTGGGAACATTATATGTCCTTTGGGGTGGCCTCCAAGATTCCTGCCCTGGATTCTGCCCAGCCAGATGAGGGAAAGACAGCAGACCTGTTGCTTGTTCTTAGCAAAGGTAACTATTGAATGTAATCCCACCAAAGCATGTCTCTGGATGCTTCCACATGGCCTGTGTATTCAGCATTCATCCTGATGTATTTTGCAGGGAGGTTAGAGAAGGTTGGCATTTTAATGAGTATTCACTCTGATTTGTTTGCAGTGATTATCAATGACATTGCATTAAAGTAAGTGTTATCCTACACTTTCCAGCGCATTTTCCTGCCACTTTCCTTCTTGGGGAAATGGGATTTGTTGCACATCTGAAAACTTGGTGTGTGGGTTTGGTTAACAAAGAGCTACCCTGGAAGCAAGAAGAAGAAGAACATATATCATAGAGGCAGTGTTCCAAAGGACAGGTAAAAAAGAAAATAGGACCGAAAGGAAGTATAAGTTACCCCCAAAGATAATGATCTTAGGGGGACATGTTTGTGCGCCAGACAGAAAACTCCCAGTCACACATTTGGATGTGCCATTCTATCCATTTGTGTGCCAAGCAATTGAAATGGAAAGAGCTTTAAAAAAAAATGGCAAGGTTGAAATCAGTCATCTTACCAACAAGTTTTAAGATTCATTGGCCTCTTTGGTTTAAATGTTTGGGGGCAAAGAAAGCATCCTGATGTGGGTCTCCTAACTCTGTGCATGAGTGTATACATGCACACCCATGTATTCATGTGCAAATATCACTGTCTACTGTGCCTGCCTACTCTACCATAAATGTTAATGAAGTAGTCTATGGGACTGAATATAAACATCGAAAAGGCAGTTCCTCGAGGAGCATTGAAATGAAAAGAAGAAACAAATAACTTGCAGTACGTTGTCACCAGCCAAACTAACATAAATACATACACACGCATACAGGGTTTTGCTCATACGCAGGTTCTAGAGATTCCTTACCACCAGAGTTCTTGCAGCCAAAGGAAGAGCACAGAGGGGGCCTCAAATGGCTTTCCTTAGCCTTGCTCTTATTTTCCTTACCTGTGTGCTGTCTTGCTATCCTTCCTTGGAGGAATCATTCCCATTTAATATAACTGCTGGTACTTACCATGCTATCCCATTACAGTGAGACTGAAATACTATACCTCAGAAGTGTTCCTGGACTCCCATCAGACCCAACAAGCATCATCAATGGTCTGGGGTGGTGGGAGCTGTCGTCCAGAAACTTCTGGTTACATGCAGAAGGCACCAGGTTCAATCCCCAGCATTTCCAGGTATGGCTGGGAGAGAACCCTGTCTGAAATCCTGGAGAGGAGCTGTCAGTCATTGTAGACAACACTGAGCTAGATGGCCTGACTGTGTATAAAACATCTTCATTTGTTCCTATGAACATAACTATGCTCCCTGGATGACAGTGGTTATTTACAGACATATAGAAAATATTATGGAATCAGTTGTAAGGAGGGAACATTGGACTGTGACAAATGCCATATCTCTAAGACACCATTGGTAAGCAACAGAAGCTGAGTTGATAGTGGATTCCCACAGCCTAAGTGGCCAAGATTTCACTTTCTGTTGTGGTGGTAGATACAGAATCACAGAACGGTAGAGTTGGAAAGGACCACAAGGGTCCTCTAGTCCAACTACCTGCAATGCAGGAATCTTTTTGCCCAACATGGGCCTTAACCTCAGGCCCTAAGATTAAGAGTCTCATGTTCCACCAATTCCCTAATCTTCAGAATGTATTCAGGTTGCAGCTTTTCAAAATCAATCATTCATTCTCTCATTCAGGTCTTGAATGGTCAGGACCCAAATCTGTATTGCCACCCACAAAACCAGACTGGGGCCTGGTTTGCACATCACACTAAGCCAAACAATAGTTTAGCATGAACACATGAGTTTACAGGCTCCCAGAGAGGAGATTGTGGCTGCCTTGCTCATATAACCAAGGTTTGTTCTTGGTGTATGGCTTGTAGTTAGTTTGGAGAGGGATAATCCATGGGCCTAGGTTTGAATGACAGACTAAGCCAAACTATGGTTTGGTTTCATATAATGCAGCAGCAAAATGGCAATGGAGGAGTGAAGCAGCTCCAACCCCCTGCATGCTCATGTGTCCATGCTAAGCCATAGTTTTGCTTAATGTGATGCGCAAAGCAGTCTGCTATAAGGAGTGCTGTTTTTCTACAAAGAGAGATGCTGGAACCCGCCATGAACACCTCCCTCGTTCTCTTAGAATGCCAATGGTGCCCACCTGAAAGGTGCCGGAACTGAGTTCCTGTAAGGTTCCCCTGAAAAAAGCGATTATAAGGTAAAAAAAAAATCCACTGAATTGTGGGTAGAACAGTTGTATGAATCTACCCTTATTTTCCCCATAGGTACTGCTTCCACTGTTGCAACTTATTTAATAGTCTCTTTCAATAGCGAAGGGAAGGCACATCAAACATTTTAAGCTGCCAGTCCTTAGGGTACAGAATATGTTTTGTTTCTAGAAATTCAACTGAAAGCTCCCTTGGAGATTTAATAATGGAAAATGGAATGGAAACGATTTCCTAAATTACATCTGTGAACAGTAAAGAGCCTATTTAATTGTATGTTTTATAAGCATATGACTTTTAACAGTGTCACGTCCACACCATAATACTTGTTATGGTATTAAATGTTCCGAGTTTGTAAAATTTATTTTAAAAATTGCCCAGATGTTAGCTCCAGAGAAGCTGCCCCCTAAGTGTATTCTTGTACAAATCATCAAGTATTAACAACCATCAAATCAGGCTTGATGGGGGGGGGAGAGAATGTCACGCTCTGATAACAGCTCAAATGGAGGCCAAGAGGTTTGCGGACAGGTGGATGTAATTTCGAAGTCTCGTAGCAACTCCCAGTCTTCTGTAGAGACAATTACTGCCAAGATCACAGCATACATTGGATCTAAATTCTACCTGTCCCTTCCCTCCATCTTAAGCCACTGTCAATAACTCTTTCTGGCACATGACAAATGACATGACTTAACCCAGGTAGATATTAGCAATTCAGAGGATATCACACCATTGCACACTGTAGGTGACACAAAGCAGATGGCTTTGTTTTATAGAAAGGGCACCCTGTAACCAACAGAGAAAGAAAAATGCCTGAAACATTGCCGAATGCATTTCTAAGTACCCAGAAGAAATGAAAGTACCATATGCAAGTGCATTTATAGTGGGTAGCCTCTGAGATTGGCCAAAAGGCTAAGGAAACTAGAGCTATGGAAATTTTTTTTAAAAAAAACTCCTGCAATCTTTTAACAAAAAAGAAGAAGTTGCTTTTGGAAATCATCACTAGGAAAAGAACATTTTGGTGAAATAATCTTGAGTGCAGCATGGAGTATGTAATGCCTACCATACTTTAGAAGTAGTCCAGGGATGTTTGTGAATGTTCTTTCTTAAATTCTACAAATCATCTCTCCCTTGGTTTGTACACTGCAGCCTTCCCAGGTGCCACACTTCAGTCAAAGCCCAGGGGAAGGCATGACAAGGTAACACTTCCCAGGAGGCTTTTTCATATCCAGAAGCACAAGCAGCTAGGGAGGCACTAATGTGCTGGAGAATTTTTTAGTGAGGGAAAAAACACACATATACCACCCATGGCCGCCACGCAATGATAAAGTAAGCGCAAAACCTCACACTCAAAACAACTCTAAAGAAATTATTGAGTGCAGTAAGATTGATGCTGGAAAAAAATTCAAGACTGTTTTGCAGGGTACGAAAACTTTTGAGAAATTCAAGGATCGATTTCTGGAGAGCTCTAAGCAAAACATTAGAAGAGTAGCACAAGGAAGCACAACAAAAGATAACTGCCAAGCAGATCTACTGCTTCATCACCTAGGCCAGGGGTCTGCAACCTTTAAGACAAAAAGAGCCACTTGGACCGAAGAAAAAAAACCTGGGAGCCGCAAAACCATTGCGACATTTAAAACAGTGGGGAGTGTCGGGGCACACAATGCGCCTCCTCCCCTCGCTAGTATCCGCCCCGGAGCCGCGGCAAAGGTGTAAAAGAGCCACATGCGGCTCCGGAGCCGCGGGTTGCAGACCCCTGACCTAGGCCATGGGTAGGCAAACTAAGGTCCGGGGGCTGGATCCGGCCTAATCGCCTTCTCAATCCGGCCCGTGGACGGTCCAGGAATCAGTGTGGTTTTACAGGAGTAGAATGTGTCCTTTCATTTAAAATGCATCTCTGGGTTATTTGTGGGGCATAGGAATCCATTCATTTTTTCCCCAAAATATAGTCCGGCCCCCTACAAGGTCTCAGGGACAGTGGACCGGCCCCCTGCGGAAAAAGTTTGCTGACCCCTGACCTAGGCCATCAATTAGCCCTGACAGCTAGAACCACCAGCCACTCGTGACATGTTATTATTTATTACTACTGCTCTCTTGCTGCTATATTATTGTTTCAAACCTTGCTGCTGACTTTTATGCTGCTTTCTCACACACACACACACACACACACACACACACACACCCCTAACTTACACCTGACATCAATACACACTGGCCCCACCCCAGTATCCCCATGAATACAAATTATGGCACCCTCTACTCCCAACCAGTTCTCTTATTAAGTGGGAAGGTCTTAAGGGAGCGTCTGCATGTAACTTGATGAATGCGTTTAGAAGCTTATTCACAATCAGGAATCCTAACAACAAAGATTTTCTGATCACGCAAAAGCTTCTAAGTGCAGTCTATTTACACCTTCCCTCTCAATATGGGAATGTTGGCATGGGGCATCCTGCTCACATTTTCAATCCATTATTCAGGCATAATGACAGGACAGGACTATGGACTGATCCCTTAGAGCTGTCTGCACAGAGTGGCTGCTGAAGTTGTGCTGCTTCCAGAAAGTTGATACCCTGTTCCTTGTTACTGCCCTATGGCCTGTTTGTGCCTTGATGCCTGAAACTCAGATTTGTTCTTAATACACCATGTGCTTTGCAACATTATGCATTAACTATTGTGTGGTTGCAGATGACTCCTGATCCAAGTCCATGTTGCTAAACTGGGGAAACGTAAGATGTTTCCTAAGCTTGGAAGAGGACCACAACCCTCCTAACAAAATGGCAAATAAAGGCACTGGCAGCATTTTGTGCCAGAAAGCAGTTCTTTGGTAAACAGAGCGGTAACATCTGTTAGGCGAGGGTGGTGGAGGAAAATAATACAATTCATTTGCCATTTCCTGTCTTTAATCTTAGGAAATATCCCCAAGGGCTCAATCTCTCTTAAACAGTGATACATCATGACATATTTTACACTGCCAGCTACAGCCTTGCATAGTGGATAATATGCAGTGCCTGCCAGTATTGCCTTAGTGTATGTGTTTACAAAAGTGATTTCCCTAGGGAGTCAAGCGTAGAGGGGGGAAACTCGGTCTGTTCTATCTTATTACATATCAGTTGACACTGTCTATTGCGGGCTCTGGATCCTATAATGTAATATGGGAGCAAAGGCCTAGCTCAAGCCGCAAGAAAGCACACACCATGGTGTTTATGTAACATCATTCAAGTAAGATTCTTCACAGAACTTGACAAGAGCAGGTGGAATTATTACAAGCCCCAGATCACAGAAGCAGTGGGGAGAAATGCCAAAAGTTAAAACAGTATAGTTTAGAATGAGCGTTTGGCACAGCTGAAAATAGATCCATCGCCTCTGTGTGTGTGTGTGTGTGTGTGTGTGTGTGTGTGTGTGTGTGCATGCATGCATGTTCTAAGGATCATAGTGTTGCCTAAATGAATCTCAGTCCATTCACATTCTTTGGAATAGCTTTACATCTGCTGTTATTGTACTTTAGCCATAGACCCATAAAATTACACACACACACACACACACACACACACACACACACACATCCCTAAGTCATTGAGCATGTTTTTAGGAGAGCTATAAAGTGCCAGGAACATTAATTGTGCTTAATTTATTATCCCATCTCCTCCTGCTGCTCCTGGCTACTGCTTTGTTAATTTCCCTTCCTATCCCTTCTTTAATAAGCTTTCCCTATTAATGTGTTAAGAGGGAGTTTAAAAAAAATAAATATTCTCTTTACTGCATCCTGGTGCCTGACTGCTATGCCAAGGAGGAGCTTCCTATATATTTGATTAATATTTTACAAATAAAAGCCACAGCTGCCAATAATAGGAGCATAGCTTCTGCCAAGATGTTACCTAAGCACAGAGATCAAATATCCTTGCAGTAGTAACACAAGGAGACATTGCATATGGTATAAAAATCAGAGGTTCCAGCCATGTATATTCAAGGATCTTAAAACTATTTCCCATTTTGCAAATCAGAGGGTTCCCAGGACAATCCCAATATCCATCACATAGATTTGGTTGTGTGGCATTTCCCCTTTGGTGCTGTAAGGTGTGGTGAGGCCCACCAGGCCTTCTCATTTGGCCTGCCAAGCCGTCTTGGCCAAACCAAGCCCACCTGTTGTCAGATGTGGGGCAGGTAAAGAACTAGCTAATTTTTGCTTAGCTCTGAATGCAAAATTCTGCAAGCCCCAACAACCAACTGATTGTGACATCAGTCCATTATGGTGTCAGGTTACTGAGTGGTGGGCTTCAGAAATGGTGCTACATCAGGCAACTTCACACCATTTCCCAGATTGGGAAAGCAGTAGAGGTGGGAGAGAGGGAGATGGATTGATGGACTCCAAAGACCAGCCTTTCACTATCAAGTGATTTGGGAAGAAAATGAAAATTATTGACGCAGCTTGGCAGGAAAGAACAGCAAGCTTCTATCCCATTGCCTGAATCATATCTGGTGAATGAAATTTATGGCCCATCCAAAATTCTATCCGTCCCATGATTTCTCGTCAGGGGTCTGAGAGGTTGTTGTTGTTGTTTTGTCCCACTGCTTTCCCCTGGGAAACCCAGAGTTTATTGTTGAATCAGAAGAAATGTCAATCTGCAGAAAACCTGACTGACATTTGTTCCAAATCAACAGTCAGCCACAGGTTTCCTGGAGAAAGTTTTGGGACAAAAGGCAAAAATAAATAAATAAATCCTCTCAGACTCCTGACTAGGAATCATGGAACAAACAGAAGTGTGGATGGGCTCTTAGTGTAGTAGATGGGGGGGGGCTGTGGTTATTCTACCACACATCCAACTTGTGGGTCACCATGCCATCACAAACTTCCCCTGTGTGGAGTAGAGCAAGTGCAGCTATTTTGTGAGCACATCACGGTATAATGAATTAACTAGTCCCCTGTAGATTCCATGTGCGTGGTTCTTCACACATTCTGCTAAGTGTTTTGAGTAAGGGACAGTTCTGGCGAAGCCCACTTTCTCTGATCTCATTCTCTGCTACATGGAATGGGGCTCTTCCCTGTCTAAAAGGCAGGAGAGAAGGTTGGGAGTGTGGAATGTTAGGTAAGGGTGGGACTATGAGTTTGTGGTTTGTTTTCTGCAAGTATTTAGTACGTTAACAGTGTGATTCTATGCATGTTGACTCAGAAATAAGCTGCACCGAGTCCAATAGGGCTTACTCCCAGGTATGTGCGCAACCTAAACTTTTGTTTTAATAGCAACCAGTCACACACCTATAATAATATAGTTAAAGGAAAAAAGAAGCACAGAATAATAGATAATCTGCTAAGGGCACTGAACACGAAAGGGCCTACCCCTCTCTTTGAGAAGGAGGACTCTGGCCTTTTGATTCGTGGCTCTGAAAATACTGCCTTGTTTTCTCTAAAGAGAACATATTGACTGGAAGCAGGCTGAGCATGGAGTTCTGAGAAATTAGAAATGTATTTCCAGGAGGAGGGAGCTTTCAGCTTTTTAATAACTTTAGCTCTGCTGTGAGCTCATCAAGACATTAGCTTCCCACATTCTGAGTTAGGCGCTGCAGTTCTCAGGCAAGAGCACAAAAGTGCTCAAGGGAAAAACAGGCACCAGGGGAGTCCTTTATTCAGGATGGCTAAGTTGCCTGCTCCAGGATATGGTCATTTCCGTGACAGCTGCACACATACAGCTGCTTGGTGCCAACTCTTAGAGCAATTTTTGGACCAGCAGGAGGTTGAGGATCTGTTTATTTGCTAATGGGCTGGTCAGATTATTGCTTTGTTTATTATTTTAGTACTGTTAATGTTGTTCGCTAGAATTATGCATTTGGTATGTTTTCCCCCCATGGATGTTTGTTATATGAACTATTAATCCAAGGGATGCCTGGAAAGCTCAGTTGGTTGCAGCATGGTGCTGATAATGTCAAGGTTGCAGGTTCAATCCCTGTGTGGGACAATTGCATATTCCTGCATTGCAGGGGGTTGGACTAGATGATCCTCAGGGTCCCTTCAAACTCTACAATTCTATGATTATATTATTTCCACCAGTGCTATTAGGTATGGTATTTTTTAGTTTTGTTTTGTTTTTGGCTGAACGTTGGGTGACAAGCAACGAATTAATGAGTGAGTGAGTGAGTGAGTGAGTGAATTTTCCCTTTGCATGGCCTTAACAGGTAAGGACCAAGCCAGACTGAAGCTTCAGGAATGTTGTGAAATGAACATGATGAAAGTTCTGACATCAGAACTGGCAGCTCTTTATGAAGTCATAAAGTGACTCATTGCATCAGGGCTGGGCAGCTGCAGTCTACTCACCATCCCTGAGGCTTTTCAATAGGGAGTAACCATTTCACAGAAATCCTAGCAGGTTGTAGCACTAAGTTTTAATTTATATATATTTTTAACTGTTGCTATATCTGTATTATCCCTGTTATACCTAATTGCAAATTCAAATGTATCCCTATCGTGTTTTATGACTTCCTTGATATTATATGTGAGCTGGAACTGGTCTGTGACTGAAATAATAAATTCATTTATTCAGGTTGTAGCCTTCCAGATTGTAGGAGGAAGAATTCCTTTAAAGTTGCAACTGTTTGTCCATTTTGTGTTCTGCTTTGTTGATAAGATGTTTGGTTTTGGTTATAGTGATTGTTCTGACCACAAGGTTCAGCCCAGGGATCTGGTTGCTAAAGGAAAATGAAGCCAAGGGTCTTAAGGGAGAAAAAGGAAAGCTTAACAAGTTGGGGGTGGAGGAGGAAAATGCAACAGAACACTGTACTAGCCTTTGGCCTGGGGGGAGGGGTGACTGGAAGCGAAAATGTGTATCTGGGTAAAGCTGGTAGTTAGAGAAAGATTAGTTGAATACTTCATAAGTGGTAGTATTTGGGAGCACAGATGGCACACCACAGAATAAAAAAGCCAGGAGAAAGATGCAAATAGACCTGAAAGTTAAACAGAGAAATGAAAATTGGTAAGTAATTGGCTTGGTTAGGGAAGCAATCTAGGCTTATCTGGATGTTTTCCCTCTTGTTATTTTTATTAGCTCTTCAAACTGTTTTTAAACAAATCTTTTTTTAAAGCCCATTATCTTGTTGCTCTTGGCAGGGGGTTGGACTCGATGGCCCTTGTGGTCTCTTCCAACTCTATGATTCTATGATTCTACCAGAAGCTTAAGTTAAGACTGAGTTCATTCATTTGACTTTAAATGTACCTGTTTAATGGAGGCAGAAAGGACGATTGTATGTATGTATGTATGTATGTATTCATTCATTCACTCATTCATTTTCCAACTTTGTGCCGGTACAGGAGCCAAGGCAGCTCGCAGCCCAGGCAGGCTTATATAGGAATATACAGCCTTTCAGATAGCCTGGACCCAAGTCATATTGGGTTTTGAAGGTCATAACTAGCCTTTGAAATGGACCAGTAGCCAATGAAGCTGTTGTAGCAGGGGGTTTCTGTTCTCAATGTAACCTGCTTTAGTTAGCATTCTGGCTGTAACATCTTGGACCCATTTAAGTTTCTGAACTTTCCAAAGGCAGGCCAACACAGAGTGTTTGGCAGTGATCCAAATAGGATGTTTCACTGCGTCCAGATTGGATATCCCAGGAATGGGCTCGGCTGGCACACCAGTTTTAAACGTGCAAACACATTCCTGGCCAAAGCTGAAACCTGGGCATTTAGGCTCAGGGATGAATCCACACCCTACTGTGAACCTGAATCTTCAGTGAGAGTGTAACTCCATCCAGCACATGTTGAATCCCTATCCCTTGGTTGACCTTTTTACTGACCAGGAGCGCCTCCTCTGTCTTGTCTGGTTTACGCTTCAATTTGTTCACTTTCATCCAGTCCATTACTGACACCAGCCTCTGGTTTAGCACCAAAACAGCTCCTTCAGATTTAGATGGAAAGGGGGGGAAAGCAGAGTTTGGTGTCATCCATATAGTGGTGGCACCAAAGCCCAAAACTCCAGACAACCTCTTCCAACAGTTTGATATAAATGTTAGCTACCATGGGGAACAGGACAGAACCCCGAGGGACACCATATAGACCAAAGGCCAGGGCATCCAATAGGAGTTCCCCAGAACCACATTAAAAACCTAACTGGAGAACAACTATTGCAGGAGAGTGCCCTCTTCAGAACAGCAGCATGCTTTAAGAAAGCTGACAAACCTGTATACTGAATTGGATCACTGCAAACTTCAGTGACGTCATCATTCCTTGGCCCTCTTGCCTACTTGCTGCCAGAAAGCACTCTTAGTCGCTGAGACATGCCATTCAAAGTACCAGCAACTCAAGCATACTTGAGTCACAGAAACACCTGAGAGCCTGGTGTGAAATGACAGCTGCTCAGCCACCCACTTAATACTACCATCACCACCACCACTAATGTCTTGGCACTGCATTCCTCACTAACATTCCCAGGCTTGCCTCCCTCCTCCCAGATCAGCCTCTATCCTTAACTCTTCTGTCTCTGAAAGCCCTGCCATGGGGCTTTTGTATTAACTGTCAAGAGCCCTTAGAGCAGATTCCCTGGCCTCATTAGTCAGCCCAGGGGTAGCAGAGGATGCTGACAAATCTGTGGAGTCTGCAGTGACATTCCGAGGGACCGATGTAGGTTTAGAGACTGTCAAGGGAAAAAAAGTAACCCAAGGCAACTTCTGTGGACTCATTTGAAATTCAAATTTATACATTGCGCTGCAAGATTCATTTCAGTGAATAAGTGGTTTCAGGCTATAATGACCTGGATTTTTTTTATTATTTTATTACAAATGTGTTGGCAGGGTGGCAGGAGAGGCTGGCATCAAGAGAGTGTGTTCATGCAAACAGGAAGCAACTGTTCCATCATAAAGGATAAGAAAGAGCACACAGGAAATGTTAAAATCCTTCACATTTACCTAACTTTAACTTCATTATTTTCCTGTGCCAAACAACAGAATTAGGCTGACATAAGGAATTGCTGTCCCAGAGTAAAGAACTCAGAGCTCCTGAGTTGGGATAAAACACAAGGTATGAATGCAATTTCCCATGCTCCTCCCATAGAGGCCTTCCATGGCAACTTGAGATTTCCCTCTCCATGCTGAAATTAGGATTGAAATAAGTATGCTATTGTAGCCTGAATAATAGGTTGCAGTGTGTGCTTGGCTGTTGTGTATGTATTTGTGCCTGCAATAGTTTCTACACACTGAAATGTGCCCACAGGCCTGAAAGAGCTGGCAAATTCTGAGTTAAAACCTCACAGCTTCACGATTATGCTTCTATTCTTTTCACTTCTCTGCCACTCTTCAGGCAATTACTGGGCATGTGGTAGCCACAGTGGAAATTCCCTGCACAATGGCTCATGACCTATGGCCAGCTGGTCACATCCATACAATTGCCACATCCCACATTCACCTGTTTGAGAATTCCCTTAAAGTCAAACAGCAGAAGCATGTTGACCAGCAGGCTAGAGAGAGCATAGATTTCCCAAGGGCCTCTCCCCGCCCACTCCTGGCAAGGGAACAGCCCCTGGACCAGCCTGACTTTTTCCTGAGTCATCCAAATGCTTTCCATAAAACAGGACACCCTCTAAAAGGTTGCTTGACAGATACGTGTCCAGTCTCTCTAAAAATCTATGGAAAAGTGAACATATGAAGCAATTTATTCTACTGTTCACATCCAAGACACACTCTATGTTCTTATTCAATACTTCTGCCTGGCTGGAATGTGTCCATGCATGCAATAATGCCTCTTGCTTACATAGATGGAAGATGGAGGGATGTGTTTATGTGTAAACCCCTGAATTTTGCTTTGATGGGATACAGCCTACTGTACAAAGGTAAGAATCACATTGGTTGTTCTGCCCACCAAAGGGGGGGCCTCCTGAAGAGCTGTTTTTAGTTTGCAAAAGCCTCAGAAGCAGGACCCGAGTGCAACAAGACTCTCCCCACTTTGATTCCCAGTGCTGGATGTGCACCACAGCCATCATGGTTACTCTTCACTGATTGCCTTATAAATACCATTAACTTGTCTAAACTGCTTTCAAAGCCATCTGAGTTACACTGTTCCATAGGATTCCAGAGTCAATTCCATGCCCTGGGTGAAGAAGAAGTAGAATCATGACGGAGTAGCAACTGTATCCTGAAAATCTCAGAAGGACTATAGCAGGCATAGGCAAACTCGGCCCTCCAGATGTTTTGGGACTACAACTCTTATCATTCCTAGCTAACAGGACCAGTGGTCAGGGATGATTGGAATTGTAGTCTCAAAATATCTGGAGGGCCGAGTTTGCCATGCCTGGACTATAGAGAGAGGAAATCCAGAGGACCAGGAAAAGCAATCAGGACTAAGGAATACGAGTACAGAATTTGGATGGATAATGTTTGCCATGCTAGGATCTGCACTTTTTATGTAGGGTCTATGACCCCTTTAAGAGGGATGGAAGCACCATTCAAATCAGGATTTTAGAAAATCAACATTTAGGATCCTAGCTTCAATCCTTTACAAGGCTGCAGTAATCCTCATCAAACCCCCCATCAGCTCAGAAGCCCCATTCACTGGATGCCAATTCCATTCTTCCTATGAAACAAAGTGTAGATTTCTCTGGGAAAACCAAATTCATTTTCCTTCCCATCAGCTAGAATAAGCAGAATCGACAGATACTTCTGCCAAAGCAAATGTGAGCCATGAGAGTGGAATGGCAAATGATCTGGATGTTCATTTCCTATCTAAACATGTGGTGGCTTGAACCAATTAGTATCAAGTGCATCACACCTAACATCTCTCCCATCCTAACCCAAGCAGAAATGAAGAAGGAAACAACTAGGAAAGACATTCAAACTTAATTAGGCACCAGTTGATAAAGACCACTTTTAATGCCTCAATAGTCTGAAAGCTCATTGTGCATGTGTTTCTGTGGATGAGTCAGCAGCTTTGGTGTAAATTAAGCATTTAGAGCTGCTGTCTGCCCCCATCCTTACTACAGTTAAGATCAAACCATTGCTTTCACACCTTTAAGTCTATCAAGACCAGGTTCTCAAGGGCTTGTATTGGCACTGAACAGTTTGGTGAATGCCACCAAAGAAACCAGCTCTTTATACTAACACTTCTGGGAGAGGAACTGGATTCTCAGGCTTCCACACACCCTAAATATAAAACATTGTAAAATTATACTCTCCGCGAAAGAAAAATATTGGAAGAGCAAAACAAACAGGAACAGCTTTAAGTAAGATGCTCTCTTCTAAAAGGTAACTGTTTACTTGCATTTGGATAAGTGCAACATTCATTTGTTTAAATTTATATCCTGCCCATCCTCCCCAAAGAGTCATGGATGCCCAACAACAAGTGATAAAGCAATAAAAACAAGTTTTAAAACATTTCCAATACAGACTAGGAAAGATCTCAAGAAGCCTTTTGGAACATGTTTGTGAATATAGAGAGCTGTCATTTTTGAGGCCATGACCATTGGGAAAAGTGCAACTGCACCCAAGAGAATAGCTAGCAACCACCAGTGATTGGTTGTAGCTCAAGGAAGGGCTGTAGTTCAGTTGTAAAGCACCAGCCTTGCACACAGAAGTTCTTTGGGGCAATCCCTGGCATCTCCAGGTAGGGCTAGGAGAAAATCCCATCTGAAATCCTAGCAAGCCTTTGAAAGTTAGTGTAGATAATATTGAGCTTGATGGACCAATGGTATGACTCTGTGTAAGGCTGCTTCCTATGCTCCTAATGGTACACAAAGTGTGTGTGGGAGGAGGGCTGCAGCAGGGTGAAGAGGAAGGGGGAATCTCATCATATGAGTGGAAGTGCACCTGCATGACACTGTTGAGTTCCACTGGAAAATCCTACGTTTGCTGTCAGATTTATGAGACCATCCAATGGAATTCAATGGTATTTCAACTATATTGTGTAGGGGGTCCAATATTAATCATTTCATATCATATCATTTTAATACATTTTCAGGGTTCGTAGTAACAATACTCCTCTGAAATGGGGTGGGGGGAACCAACAATAAGACTGATGAGATAAGGGGCCTTTAGCTGCCATTCATACCTATCCTCCATTTGTTGAACTAAGTTTTAATCCTGGAGATATCTCCCTATATTGACTGGAGAATGGTTTTGTTGTCTACTTGTATTGTCTGGATAATTTCAGTGATTTGTATACCGTGAAACTTGCTTGCTACCATACAGTGACTTGACCACATAATATATTCACTAAGTGGGTCCTATGACTTTGTATGTTAGCTGCTGAATGCATATGAGGCCAGGAACTTGCTGAAGCCAAGCAAGACTAGGTCTAGTCAATATCGGGATGGAGGACCATGGGTGGAATGCAATGCTGTGCTATGGCAAACGTCCCAGCAGCACAAACATTGCAGACTGCCAGATGGAACAAACCCCCCTCTCCACCCACTATGAGCTGTTCTGGGGGTTCTCCTGGAAGGGGGGCAGGGGAGGAGAAGACGGAAAGCCCATTGTGCAAGCAGGTGCCTTAATGCAGGACATGTGCTGATGGGACTTGTCAAGAGAATCCCATCCCATATGTGTGCCACCTTGAGTTCCATAATGGGAATAAGAAACAAAATAAAAGCTCAGGAAACAGGTCATGCAAGAGACTCTGAGGAGCTGGTGCTAGCATAGCTAAGAGAAAGCTAAAAGGACAGTCTGACCCTGGTATAAAACATCTATCTGTGGTCCTACAAATGACTGCAATCAAGGGATGAAAACCCTTATCATGGCCTTATAACCTAATATAAATATATGAAGCTGCCTTATGTTGAACCAGTCCATTGGCCCATCAAGCCAGTACTGCCTACTAAAAATGGCTCTCCAGACATTCAGGCAGAGGTCTTTTACTTGAGTTCTTTTAACTGGACATTGTGAAGTGAACTTTGGATTCTCTGCATGCAAAGCTGGTACTCTACCACTGAATAGTGGCTCCTCCTCTCCGGAATACATTCCAGCTTAGTTTATCGCACTCTCCTTCCCTAAACCTTCTTCACTGGAAACTATGCAAATAAATCTCCTATGTCCCATCACATATTGCCGCCATGCACAATTGAGCAGCTGCTGCACCTTTGGCCACGAATGAGGTGGTGCCTTTCCTTTCTACTGCTCACAGGAGCACAGTGAGAATTAATTCACTCAGCACTTAAAGCAATAAAGAGCATATAAATATTAGTGTTTATACATCCTTCGTGGGGTCTCAGATTCTGCTGACAAGCCAGCTGTGGTAATGAACGCTCCCCAATGCACTATTATATTTAGATCAACATTTATTTTGGGAAATGTGCACGTAAAAAGCCTTCTCTGAATGCCTGAAGGTGCTAAAGGCAACATTTATGGCCTTTGTCATTAGAAAATCCCAAGAGGCAGGAAAAAAAATAAATAGGGGAAAATAATAGCATGCTAAATTCATGGGGTGTCATTCAACTAACCACTACTGAGAGGAGAAATTAATGAACATGACTAAGTTAGGCCAGAAAATTTCAGTGGGTCTATTCTGAATAAAACTTAGTTCAATACCACCTATTGACTGTTGTGGTCTACGGAATCAAGTTATAAAATTGCTTGTTGGTTAAGGACTACCTTTGCTTAAATGTACGGTTTTCCACAGCCCTTTCAAGCGCAGTCCGGGTAACATTTGGGAGAGATCGGGACCTAGACAATCACAGAAGATGACTCCAATCTAGTACTGCAGGAGTGGCCAATGCAGTCCCCTCCAGTTGTTCGACTAAAATTGCCTGGCCACTGGCCTTTCTGGCTGCAGCCTGGAGTCTAGCATCCAGGGTAGCATATTAGCAACTCCTGCTGCACTGGATCGATCTGTAAGTTGAGCTGTGAATTTGTATAATTTCCTAAGACAGTGGTTATTAAATTTATTATAACCAAACCTCTAAAAAATAATTGTCCTGCCCAATTTTTTGGGAAACAGACTTTATTGACTGTTTATTATCACCTCGAGAAAATCCAGCAAAGTGGCCTCTGTGCCTTTTGGGGTGCAGTTATGGTTCCTGCTTCAATATTTTATTGTTGTTATTGAAGGAAGCAGTGGGCCTGGTGTTTGTTCCTTTGTATTCTCTTTGCATGTTGCTTCTTTCACCCACCATTATTTTTTATTATTATTATTATTATTATTATTATTATTATTATTATTTGTATACTGCCCTTTATCCGAAGATCACATCACAACATCAAAATACAAAATTAGAATATAAAATACTAAAAAAACACACAAAAACACCTCAATAACCTCCCTCCCACAAAAAAATATTTTAAAAGCCATAGAATGTTTAATCAGCCAAAGCCCTAGTTATAGAGAAACGTTTTTGTCTGGCACCTAAAGGTATGTAATGAAGGCACCAGGCAAGCCTCCCTGGGGATAGCTCTCAAATTATGGGTGGCAGAAAAGCCCTGTTCCCATGTTGCCACCTTCTGGACTTCTCATGGAGGGGGCACATAGATGATGATTGCAGGGTTCAGATCATATGGGGAGAGGTGGTCAAAACCAGCATGTTGAATTGGGCCTGGAAACTAAGTGGTAGTCAGTACAGTCAGGCAAAGATCAGTTTAATATGCTCAAATCACCCTGCCCTAGTGGGCAACTTTGCTGCATCAGCTAAAGTTTCCAAACCATCTTCAAGGGCAGCCCCATTGCAGTAATCTAACCTAGAGGTTACCAGAGCATGTCATATCCGCCGGGAAATCCCCAAGGGCTGTTTGCAAAACAATTAGATCCATCAGCGCCTCTAAGGGCGGGATCATCCTCATAGGTCCTCTGCTTCTGCAGAGGGAGAAAGGTGCTGAAACCTTAAATTTCACCAGGAAGTGATTTGACCCTGACAAAGGACTTGTCAGTATCCTCCACTTTCAGGTCACCTTCTGCCCAGCTGAGAAAACAAGGTGTGACCTGCCACGTAAATTGGGTCAATGGCATGTTGGGAAAACCCCAGGGTCCTCATGAAGTCCTGAGCCACCCCAGAGCTAACCATTTCAACATGGATGTTGAAGTCCGCCAACACCAGCAGTCTGGAAGTCCTCAACACCACCACTGAAACCAGCTGTGTCAGCTCAAGCAGGGAGACAGCTGGGCAGCAAGTCAGGCGGTAAACTAGCAGAATCCCCAATCTGTACCAATTACCCAATGCCAGGAATGGACACTCTGGACCCTTACACATCTAGATAGAGAGCCTGGAAAGAGAGATGAAGTCTCTATAAACTATGACAATTCCCCCTCCCTGACCAACTCTACGACTAATAAAAAAACAAAGAACCACCCATCTTTCTGCAATCACCTTAGCACATTTTTTCATACGCTGAACATAATGCAGTGGTGTCTCTGAAGGGCCAATGTAATGACAATAATTTCCTGTCATTAACCTCTGAGGCATGCTTGTAGTGCTTCTGAAAGGAGGGCTAGAGAATCCTGAATGAGCTGGAATATTTAATAAAATGCAGTCTAACAAACAATAATAATGTCTGTCTGTTGCTGGGTAATCAAGCCCTACTACCCATTCTGAAGAAAGATGGACATGCTTAAACATGTTGCAATGTCAGCCTCAGGCTACAATACTATACTCGCTCGCCTGGAAGTGAGCCCCATTGGACTTACTCCAGAGTAGACATGCATAGCACTGCAGTGATAGGGTCCATTCAGACATCCCTTTTATTTTGCATTCATGATTATTCGAGCTCGTGATGTTATTGGGGAGGCTATCCACAATCCTACTTTTGAATAATATTTGAGGCTGCCCAAGTTTCAAGGGGGACATGCTGCTTTGTTTCCAATCAGTGCACGTGCCCTAGCTCTCTGCTCAAAACTTGTAACTTTGTACATCGCAAATGTCCTGGATTGCTTTTTGTCTCACTTGTGTTATGCTGCAGAGCAAGAGTGACCCTCCCGGTGGCAATATTGCTGTAACATTGGGGAAGCATCCCAGAACAACTTACAAAGCAGAATTAAGTTGTGGATGGTCCATCATAAAACCATCACTAGAAGAAGAGGAGTTTGGATTTGATATCCCGCCTTTCACTCCCTTTAAGGAGTCTCAAAGTGGCCAACATTCTCCTTTCCCTTCCTCCCCCACAACAAACACTCTGTGAGGTGAGTGGGGCTGAGAGACTTCAGAGAAGTGTGACTGGCCCAAGGTCACCCAGCAGCTGCATGTGGAGGAGCGGAGACGCGAACCCGGTTCCCCAGATTACAAATCCACCGCTCTTAACCACTACACCACACTGGCTCTCACTAATGCACTATTATTGCATCAACTACCTGTTGCAGAAAAATCCAGTCTGCAGGGGCTCTTAGTGTGTCACTGATGTTCCTGGAGGATGCTGAATGGGACCAGCTATGTTGCTGAACACCATAGTCAGGCTCCAGTCCTGCCTACACTTGCCCTCTGACAAAAGCTGTGACCTTGCTTTATATTGTTTGCCTACTCAAAATCCTGTAAATGTGCATGTGTTAGAGCATGTCATACATATACATACAACCACATAACAGGATCTCTAGACTATTCCTTTAAGATTATTAAAAAAGACAGCATGCACAAGCAATTTTGTGGGATTCAATGCCCGAAGCAGAAACAGAAGCAGGTTACAGGTTTGATCCCCACACAGTTGCATATTCCTGCATTGCAGGAGGTTGGACTAGATCAGGGGTGCACAACCTGCGGCCCTCCAGATTTTCTGGACTACAACTCCCATCAGCCCCAGCCAGTATAGCCAGTGATCAGGGATGATCGGAGGTGTAGTCCAACAACATCTGGAGGGCCGCAGGTTGTGCAACCCTGGAAAAGATGATCCTCAGGGTTGCTTTCCAACTCTACAATTCTATGATTTGGAGGAGGAGGAGAAGGAGGAGGAGGAGGAGGAACAGGAGGAGAAGAAGATTTTATCCAAACAATAAATTGCACCAAGGTCAATGGAAATTGGGTGTCCCTAAACACACACTGCTTTTAGCTAATCTGTTTATAACATTTGCCCAGGGGCTTCTGGGGCAGCACTCTCTAAGCAAGCACCAGATGGGAGCCACCATCTAAATTTCCCAGAGCCTCATGACAAAAGAAAATGGCAGCTCCTAGACCCACCTGCTCAATATGAGGGGACCAAGGCCAGTTTCCATGCAGTTGGACCCTGCCAGGTCACTGGACTGCTGGCAGTTACCCAAAAGTATTGGTGCAGCTTTAGACTGAAAAACTCAAAGAGTTCTCTTTAGCTTTTTCAAAGAAATTAACTTGTCTGTCACAATTTCACCACAGCTCTAGAATCACCATGTTCCAGCCCTTATGGCCTTACAGGGTTTAACAGGAAATATGTCCTTGCCACTGAGCTCATAGGAGCGGCAGACAGTAAGTGAGAGAAATATCCTCTGGTGCACCACCGTGGTGATAACTCTCCTGCAGTGGAATAACCGAAGCAATGTTATAAAACAGAATGTATATTTCAGTGAATTAAATCCCCTCTTGACTTACTCTCAGCAGGAAATAGGACTTCGGTGCAACACTACTGATACTCTGGTGCCCTCTGGCGGCTAGCAGTATACAATGCAATGATGATTCAGAAGATCTCAGCAAAATTCATATCCTATTCGTTTTAATACATGTTTTAGTCAACACATGTTTCAGACCCGTACTGTGCGCCTTCATAACATTTAAAGCATCAACAAAATGTTGACATCAAGATCCCTGCCTTTAACCATCTCAATTCCTACTTCACACACTTGAAACGAAAAACAGCCAAGCCACTTCAAATGTTGCTCTCTCTTTTTTTATGTGTACACTACAAAGACTTGTGATAGCATGCATTTTCTACATATTGAATCAGACATTTATATTTTGGCAGTAAGGAGACATTTACACAGTGGCTGTGTGTCCCATCTTCGCAGCCCCCATGCTCCTTGAATCTGTGTGGCTTAATTCAACATGGGGCAGCAGACTCTGCTGTGGACCAAAAAATAACCTAGTTTTCCAAGGGATGCATCCCATTTTTTAATGGGCAGCAAAGCAAACTGTTGTGCAAATCTCTTCCAATGGGAATGGCAGCTAAGAACAACAGTTCATTTTTAAAAAATACTATCACACGATCTAATACACAAACACTCTAAACTAGGAATAAAAGCACCCTACCCTAAAAAGTTATTGTGAAGGAACCCCGAGGGTCATCTAGTCCAACCCTGTGCAATGCAGGAATGTAGTGCCCCATCCAATATGAAACCAGACCCTGCTTAGCTTTGCAAATGTCCTAGCAGTTTTATTGCTGCACCACTAAAAAAGAAGGATGTATGCAAAACACGTCTCTTTCATTTTCTCTTATATTGGGGGGGTGGAATTCCCACCCCCAAGTTGCAAGGTTATAAACTTGTTGATATTCTTTATTCCTTTCTTTGGAGTGGTGGGGTCTGCTTTTTTGGGAGGGAGGGAAGTTGCTCCACTTAAGTGTGGGGTGGTGAGTGGCAATGCTTTGTGTGAAGAAGATCCCAGATACAGTCCTGGGCACCTCCACCGAAAGAGGCTCATGTGATGCAAAAGACCTCTGCCTGTGACTTTGGAGAGCCACGACCAGATTAGGCATAACTTGGGCAGATAGACAAGAAGTCTGACAAGGTAACTTCCTATGTTTCCAGTTTAAAATGGCCTCCCTGTGTATCTACTTAATGCACACTGGCTATTTAAAAACCAGAGCCTAATAAATGCCTCTTGGACCAGGCCAGTGACCCATCTAGTCCAGCATCCTATTCCCACTGCAGCCAACCAGATACCTATGGGAAGCACACAAGCGGTATTTGTTTACAACAGCACTCGTTTTCCTTATTTGTTTACAGCTTTCATAACCAGGATTGTAGAAGCCACATTGCTGCTTTGCTTTCTGTTTTATGTGCCGAGCCATAGAATCTAGAAATGTATTTTTTAAAAAACAAAACCTCATATTTAAAACGCTATAGGCTGCAATCCTACCTGGGAGTATGTGATTGAACTCAATGGAACATACTTCTAAGCCGGCATGTGTAAAATTGCACTCTTGTTTTCACAGTGCTACTTCACAGAATCCACTCAACAAGTCAAGGGTTAAGCATTCTGAGAAACCTGCCTACTCTGATGGGTGTGAGAAGTGAGGTTACAGGGAACCAGGCAGAGGGCCTTCTTGGTAGTGGCGCCCACCCTGTGGAACGCCCTCCCTCCAGATATCAAGGAAATAAATAAGAATCTGACTTGCAGAAGACATCTGAAGGCAGCCCTGTTTAGGGAAGTTTTTAATGTTTGATGTTTTATCGTGTATTTAATATTCTGTTGGGAGCCGCCGAGAGTGCCTGGGGAAACCCAGCCAGATGGGCGGGGTATAAATAATAAATTTTATTATTATTATTAGATCCATGATGGCTGATCCAGGGTAGACATTTCACACAACTGAATCATATCATCACAGTTACAATTACTGTTTGATAGAAGCTGATGGCATAAAGGAACTCCCACCCCAAAATTATCATAGAACTACATCTTCTGGTTTCCCAGCAATAAAGAATCTTATATTTTATGACAATCTGGAAAAAAAACTTGAAAGTTGCTAATGCCTCACTCACTTGCTCACTTCCACTCTCTGGGCTGGGTTGGATGTAGGACTAAGCTATGGTTAAGGGACGCGGGTGGCGCTGTGGGTTAAACCACAAAGCCTAGGGCTTGCCAATCAGAAGGTTGGCGGTTCAAATCCCCATGATGGGGTGAGCTCCCATTACTCGGTCCCTGCTCCTGCCAACCTAGCAGTTCGAAAGCACATCAAAGTGCAAGTAGATAAATAAGTACCGCTCTGGCGGGAAGGTAAACAGCGTTTATGTGCGTTGCTCTGGTTCGCCAGAAGCGGCTTAGTCATGCTGGCCACATGACCTGGAAGCTGTATGCCGGCTCCCTCAGCCAATAAAGTGAGATGAGCACCACAACCCCAGAGTCGTCCGCAACCGGACCTAACAGTCAGGGGCCCCTTTACCTTCACCTATGGTTTAGCATTATGTGAATGAATCGCATGAGCTCAGGCTCCCAACTCTTCCCCTCCCCTTCACTAGAGCAGCTGTGAGGAAGTGACTAGAAGCATTGGTTTCTAGTTTCTAGTTAAAAATAGCTAGCAGTTATGTCTGGACTTGGGGAATCATGTTTAGTTTAAACCAAGAGAGGGAAACCTGTGGCCTCTAGATGTTATTAGATTTAGGCATCACCACGGAAGGGGAAGAGGATCCTGGTGATGGATGTAGGCATGATTAGTACACACTGGCACAAGCTGAAGATGGGGAAGGAGAGTTTGGGAACTTGAGAGATACTCACGAGTCACCAGAGGACGTCGTGAGGCAGCCAGCAGTTCAGGGAAGCCAGGGGAGATGGACACAACAACAGAACCAGACACAGCAGGCTCTTGAGGAGTTGGGAACAGCAGAAAGTGCACTCCAGGAGACTGAGGCAGGCAAGAGAACACAGCCCAGCTTACTAGTGGACCAGGTGGAGATCATGGGGCTCATTAGGTCTGGGAGAAAGCTATGGTCATGCAGCTAGATTAGGCTCAGGGATCATTTGCTTAATCTAGTTGAGAGGCACAGCTGCTCAAGTGGAGCAAATGTCAGGTGCAGCAATCAAGAGTGGGAAGGATAAAAGGGAAGCAAGGCAGAGATTCTATGCGTCTGCTCAACTTTCTCTGTTGATGGACCATGGCTTGGCTGCTTTGGGAATAATGCTATCAATGTCTCCTAATGACTGCAGTATGTCTCTGAACATCAGTTGCTGGAATACATAAGTAGGAAGAGTACTGTAGTGCTCAGTTCCTTCTTGAAGGTTTCTGATAGGCAACTGCTTGGCCGCTGTATGTTGGACTAGATAGGCCTTGGGGTGATCCAGCAAAGGCTCTTCTCATGTCCTTACATGTGTGTATTTTTAATGTAATGGGGAACTCTGGTTAGTTCAAATGTGGGAGCAAATGAAATCTTCCTCATGGCTACACTAGAGGAAGAGTCTCGAGAGAGGAGCTTGGGAGCACAAGGTTCATGCAGACTCCTTCAGTTACCATGAAACCAGAGTTTAGCATTGTATCCAAATCTCTCTCATACACACACACACTCTCATGCACACACAGTTTCCAGGCAACTGCCCCTTTTAAACAACTACTCAGTTAATATTGCTTTTCATATCAGTTTGGAGCACAGAGCATGCAGCATGAATGTCAATCTCAAGATAAATTATAACTCAGTAAACAAAATTAAAAACCAGGGTGTCCTGATTCCAGACAAAATATGAGATTCCTATCGATCCCAAGGAACTAATTGTAATGCAGTTGAAGACTTTGGGGTACTTGGGATTAACAAAAAAACTATTTCTCATTTGGAATTTCCCTGACCCCTTTGAGTCATATCTAACTGTATGTTGAAAAATCCCACTTGATGGAAAGTAATATTGCATACATGCTGCTGGCAGGAAAGTGGACTTTCTATGGATACATGCCCCCATGGTAATCGCTTCACCTAAGACCAAGATGCAGTTACTGCTTATCACATTCAACACTAACTTAATATCACACAACCTATGGCAAGTTACTTGCTTCAAATGTGGCGCATATATATATATATATCCCTCTCTCAGTAGGTGGGTTTTAGTCACAGAATAATGTGTGAAATGAGGAGAAATATATATAAAAAATATTCACCCACTATGAACATTTAAAGAAATAAAATCATTCTGAATGAATCATCCAAAATTGACCACCTGTACATTTACTTTCTTCCTTACTTACTTTCTGAAGTGGCACCATTGACATCACTTGCACTCAGTGATGCCATAATGAAGCCAAATCCATGTGGTTACATAATGTAGTTATATAATCCAATGATCAAATAGGCAGCAAAGCAACAACAAGTAGGGGAAACAATACTAAATATGATTCCAAAAAATAAACATTTCCTCTAGGGCTGAATATTTCCAGTCCATGCCACTTGTGCAATTGTAAGTCCAGTTTCTGACGTACTTCTGCATTAATCTGTAAAAAAAAAATTAAAAACCTGCCCTCAAATGTATATCAAAACCCACATTTACATGCATCTTTTTGAATGAATTTTCCCACAAAACGCACATTTCTAAATGGATTTTATCTCAAAACATACATCCATTTCTAGACAAATCTTATCTCAATATATGCATTTTCAAAATGCATTTGGGGGCAGGTTTTTTGGGTTTTTTTAAGCTGAGAACTGCAAAATTAAGAGAAGTGCAAATCCAAAAGGCAGCTGTGTTCTAATCTACACATTTGTCTGCTGGGTGTGAATCAAGTCAGTTTGTATCTGAATTCACAAATACCGAATACCTCCAAACATCTCTAGCACCCCACCATCACTATTTTTGGTCCAATAATCGAACACTGAGTCCTGCAGGAAAAGTCTCACAAAAAGAAAAGTGAAGAAGACTTTAAACCCAACTAGATAATATTCCATGCCTCTGCTTTATATAAGGGTTCCCAAGGCAGTGCAGGATGTTCTAATGCACACAAAGAAATGACTCATAATAGTTGAATTCCACGAATGTAGTTCAAGAATATTGAATAGCTAAAATTGCCTAATAGCCTAACTATGAAGTCACTCAGGAACTCTGAATAGCCCTGAATAGCAAATCTATGATACAGCTCAGAAGCACTAAAGTTCTGGTTTGTGAATTGCAGGGCTGTGAATTGTTTGGGAACACAGAAAAAACTCAGTGTGTAACTGGTCCCATAGCCTCGTTCAGAATATCTTATTCATGAGCTTTAATGAAAGTGAAGCACCACAGCAGTTTATACGCCTGACCCATATCACTATAAATGTTCCCACTGCTACAATGATTCTCCCAGAGTCTTCCATATGTAGCAATGTATGGCAAGTCTTTTCCCATAAGGATGGTATTTGCCCACCTGGGGCCCTCCAAGTGTTGCTTTGGACTACAACTCCCATCAGCTCCAGATACCACAACTGATGGCTACTGTAGTCCAAAACATCTGGGGGACACCAGCTTGGCTGCATTATGGCATTTAGGTAAAAGAAATCTAACTCAGTCTCAGCTGAGGATAGTTTGCAGCTGTTAGATACTGTCATTGCATAACAATGTGTGTACACCCTCACTGAGTTTCTGCCTGGCTGGGGTGTGTCTTTGAGAATGCCACTTGGTTACCTGGATGAAGAGGCATGTAGCCGTGTGTATTAACATGTTGCTTTGCCTGCTTTTGCCTCCAGCTCCACCCACCCCATACATGTGGCTAGCGACCGAGGAGAAATACAATTTTGTTTGCATGCTAATGAGAAATTGCCTAATTTGCACTTCTTAAACCAATGCATGAACCGAAACACAACAATCCTTTGAAACTCACACTTCTCCAAATTTTGCAAAGCAGCCAAAGAATATGCACAAAAAATGCATCTATTGGGGTGAAATGTGCACATTTTAGTGAAATTATATTAGAGAAGTTTTCTCCCAAAGGTTCGAACAATACAGCATACAAAAAAAAATGTGCTTTTTAGGAGAAATTTCATACGCTGCCAAATTTTCACAAGAATTTAAAATGTTTTGCAAATCTCTGCTGGAATCTGAAGAACTAAATTTAAGATTGGACAAATGAGAAACTCAGAGAACCGAAATTGACAGATTAATTCATCCCTACATGTGGTCACCAGCAGTGGCATAGCGTGGGAGGTGCCAGAGGAGCCATGGCCCTGGAAGCGGATTTTTGAGGGGGCGTGAAGCAGCCCCCCCCCCGCAGGCACCCACAGTGTGGCGCAGACCAGCACTCCTCTCCCGGTGTCAGAGGAACCAATGCTCACAGAGGGGAGCACCAGGCTTGGCCATGCTAGGGGTGCCAGCATGGGGGCACCTGCTTTGCACCCCCTCAGTGCTGTCAACTGACTGGGCTCCCCCCCCCCCGCACAGGCAGGTGGCACCACCCTCCCCAGATTGCAAGGCTGTTGGGAGTGGTGGCGGCGTGGTGACCCAGCAGCCATGCATCCTTCAATACCAGCCTTGCCTTTGTTGGTGAGGGGTATGTGGTTGTTGCACCCTTCTTGTGCCACCCTCTTCGGATCCGAGCCTTGCAAGGTCACTTGGGGAGGGCGGTATAGGTATGTGGTGACCATGCTCCCTTCAATCCCAGCCTCCTGTGAGCCTTGTGAGGACTTGGATCCAGGAAGGGTGGCATGAGGAGGGCAGAACAATCAAGATGCTTGGGGTGTTGCTCCAGTGGCAGCAGGGGCTGGACGGGCGCGGTGAGCTCTGATTGTCCTCTGTCCCTCATCTTGCTTCACCCCATCCCTGGCGCATGCGGGAGTGCACACAAACATACCAGCCCCAGGCAGCATGGAGACGCACTCGCCACTGATCACTAGAAGGTTGCCCCAGATGGGAATCTAGCCCTCAATCTGAAACAGGCTTCTACCTCTGCAATGCAGCTATGATCCTAACTGAAGAATAATACAAGGTAGAACTCCCAGGCCAATTGTCACTGGGAGTTGTTGTTGTTGTTTTTACCCAGAAGCATAGCTTGATGTCAACACTCTCTTCCCTTCTCCCCCCCGCCCTTAAAACACTTCTGTAGGCATGTAGCCCACTGCTGTGCAAGGATATTTTTGAACTGGGGCCACAGTTTACAAATGTGTCTCATCAATAGCTGCTTCACCTTAAGGAGCATAATTCTGTTTCATTAATACATATCCTCAAGCATACCCTCTTGCTTAAAGTGAATACAGAAATGTCATTCACAGACTCTGGGACAAGCATTACGACAATGCTTGCTGTCATAAAGATAAGATAAAATGCCAGATCTGTAGACTTTAACATGGTAAAAGACACACATAAAAGACACACATATGCACACACACACACACACACACACACACAGGTATTTGGAGGGAACACATCTCTGTGCAAACACGCTTAGTTGCAGCATCCTAATGCAGTAGGGCGTTTACCACCCAAAACAATTTGGCACCTGAGACAGAATCCAAATGACACCTCCCTCCACACCAGGAAAGAAGGGGTGAGGGAAGCAGCGGAGAAATATGGACACTGGGATATGCAGTCCCTGTGGATCCTGCTGCCTGAGGCAGTCACCTCACCTTGTCTCATGGGTGGGCCAGCCCTAATGGCTGTGGTAGTTTCTTCAAACATATTTAATTATTTGCTTTTTAAAATGATATTGCTGCCACATGGCATGGCATACAGGTCACAATACAAGTCTGCTCTAAGCATTTTGACTCACAAATGACTTGAATGCAGGGTCATTCTAGGGTATATTTGGGGGTAAAAATATAGCAGCCACCACAGAGATATGGTGGCAGCCATGTTCTCTTCACACAAAAGAAAATGCACTGGAAAAAGACAGAATTGGCATCATTTGGGGGTCGAGGAAATGGTGGTTAGCTAGCCAAGAACAGGGCTGTGTTGCTGCCTCTGCTGTTGAATCTCAGGTGGCAGGAATATAAAGTTGTTGCTTTAAAAAAATGTTACGGAACCTTTAAGGAAGCAGTCTTTAATACGGCAAAAGGTGGAATGAATTTTGTTGTGTGCATCACTGATTTATTTATTTTGAATGACCTCGGATTCATAGCTCATGAAGGGGGCAACAATATTGGGAGCAATTAACTATGGCTCTAACAAAGAGTGGTGTTATCTTTATACTACAAATGTATGCTTCAAACTTTATGCTTTCCTGTGTGCTTTTTTAAAAAATGGGTAATTATCTGATGTGTATGTGTTCTCCACAAGATGGTTTTTTTTTTCTATCTGCAGATTTCCCAGTTGCTTGGAGAAACAGCCTCATTTACTATTCCTTTAATTGCTCCAGGGACACAATAAACAACTCATTAGGTTGTCAGCCTGTCAGGGAGCATGTTAATGTCTTTTACAGTGCCTATATTTTACTGTCTGTCAAATTCAACTTGTCAAATTCAATAGCTGCTCTTGTTTAAAGGAAGGCAACATCTAATACTGGCATGCTCTTTGAGTGACCTTCATTTGGATGGGGACCAACCAAAGAGATTGCCATTTTGTTGAGAAGAGAGTTGCAAATAGGGAGTGTCACTAAGATGTAACAGGAAGAACTGCTGGGCCCTCTGACATACTCCTCCCTCTATAAAGCATTATTTCCCCAGTGCCCCTTTTCCTATGGTCCTATTTTGGAAAAGGAACTGCAATGTGATATTCCACTACTTCCGCTGCTGATGTTTATCACTTCTATTCTGCTGGCAAGGGGAAAAGGCAGTGCCTGTATCATAGTTCTCTGCCTAGAAATAGCATTGGCTCCCCTGCATCTTCTGAAGCATTAGCTGACCTACCCTCCTTAGGGAGGAAAGATGGGATATAAATTTAATAAATTAAGACATTTTCTTCACACACAATTCACAACTTACGGAATTCACCTCCATGATTTCCGTGGCCATTAGATTTTCCCCAACCCCACAAAGGATTAGACAATGCAGGTAGGATATATCTCATTGGCTATTGGCCGGAATAGCTAAACTGGGGGGTGGGGAACTGGTAGCAATCTAGATGCTGGTGAACTACAGTTCCCAGCATCCCTGTGGTCTGGGGCTGGTGAGAATCCAACCACACCTGGAGTGTCACAGGTTTTCCACCCCTTACCCAAAAGTAAGCCCCATGTACAGAGTTATTATACTGCTAAATACCAGACACTGGGGGTAATAAAACAGGGAGTTGTTATCACAAACATGCTCTCCTTTTAAGTGCTCAGAGACATCTTACTGACCACAGTTAGAGCACTGGGCTAGATAGATCTTCAGCTTGAACCAGCAAAGATGCTCTTCACACTTATTTATTACATTTATACCCTTCCCTTTCTTCCAAGGAGCTCAGTGAGGAGTACATGGTCCCTCTTACTCCCAATTCCATTCTCACAACAACCCTGTGAGTTAGCTTAGGCTGAGAATAAGAGACAGGCCCAAGGTCTTCCAGCGAGCTTCATGGCTGAGTGGGGATTTGAACCCTGGTCTCCCAGGGTTCTTGGTCCAGCACTCTAACCATTCCACCAAATGGTCTCTCTTATATAAAGTGGTCACACTTTATATAAATATGTATGTATCCTATGGTTGGACTACAAACATAGGAGACGTTTGAGAGGTCATTTAATCTGCCTGCTCAATCAGGATGCATCTACAGCATTTGTGCAGATGGCTGACCAGCTTCTGCTAGAGTAGCTCCAGCCAAGGACAGCCCACCACCTACACCATCAAACTGCTTTTTATCATTAAGACGTTCCTCCTAATGTCTAGCTAAAATATCCCTCCTTGCAACTCATACCTAATACTTCTGACTTCTGGAGTAACAGAGAAAAAGTCTGCTCCAGTTTCTGTATGACAGCCTTTCAGAATGCACACTGCTATCATGTCTCCCCTTGATTAGCTCTTCACTAGCCTAATTGTACCCCCCTCTCTTAAAAATATTTTATTTATGATTTTTAAATGTATACATTTAAATAATTTTATAATCATTTTAACGTTTCAAAACTTGACTTGCTTCCCCATCTTTCTGTGGTTCCTTAAACTTATTTTTAATATTTTCTGCACATTCAAATTAACTTAATTTGCTCATTTATTCATCTTCTTTAAATATATACTATTATAAAACTGCAGGTTATTACAATACTACCTCTCTCTTTTGACTGTTCTTCCACTGGAACTGGTTAACCACTTCTGATGCAGGTCATCATCTGCCACCATTTCTCAAAATTTAATAATTTTTGCTCTCTTAAGTGTGCAAGCATATGTGAATTTTCACATAAGTGACCTTGAAACATCACTGGGTATGCCTGCCCAGCTTTTATAGCTTCCCCTCCTGAATTGGCACACTTGGCTTACATTTATGACACGAGATGCCACTTTACAATTCCATGACAATGTGTTTCTCCTCATGTTCTATATATCTCTCCTTCCCAATAGCACCTGATGAAGAAGCATGAAGTTTCTGAATCTACACTATCCTATCAATGTATACAATGACTAAAGGTAAAAGGTAAAGGTAAAGGACCCCTGGATGGTTAAGCCCAGTCAAAGGCTGAGGGAGCCGGCGTTTGTCCACAGACAGCTTTCCGGGTCATGTGGCCAGCATGACTAAACCGCTTCTGGCGCAACAGAACACCATGATGGAAACCAGAGCGCACTGAAACACTGTTTACCTTCCCACTGCAACAGTACCTATTTATCTACTTGCACTAGCATGCTTTTGAACTGCTAGGTTGGCAGGAGCTGGGACAGAGCAATGGGAGCTCACACCATCATAGGGATTCGAACCTCCAACCTTCTAATCGGCAAGCCCAAGAGGCTCAGTGGTTTAGACTACAGCATACAATGTGTGCACAATAACATAAGAAGAGCCATGCTGGATGAAGCCAAAGACCCATCCTATTCACAGAAAGGACACATACAAAAACTAACAGGGGCCATAAATAGGGAGATTCATCAGTTACTACTAAAAAAACCTGAGCCTGCTACTAGGGATGGGGGCGGGGGGGAGTCAAATAATAACTCCTCTATCCCGGGGGTTGGCTTTCCGTTTGCCTGTCATTCAGGAGCTATATAAATTAGTTCTCTTCTTTCCTTTTCCTTAGAATTGCCTAACCTCTGGGCTAAGATAAGAATGGCTGACGGCAGATGAGTTGCTGTTTTCCTTTGGTCCCAACTACGCACAGAAAGGCTTGAACACCTTGTTTTGCTCACTATGGAAACCTTATTTTAGCTAAAAGAAGAAACAGGTTATATTGATTCCTGGCATGGATCATTGCTTCAGTTGTCAAAAACACGTTGAACATTTATATGAGAAGGCTATATATAAGCGCTAGAGTTTTTGTTTTGTTTTTTAAAAAAGCAACCCCACGACTTATGTGCAGTTAACTTGTGTGCATTCTGCTTTGCATGCTTAGCAAAAAGAAAGAAAGAAAGAAAGAAAGAAAGAAAGAAAGAAAGAAAGAAAGAAAGAAAGAAAAAGAGGGAGGGAGTGGGAGTCTGGGAAAAAGGACTTCGGCAATCCCACTCACCACTGAACCCAGTGTGTTTTGACTATATGCAATTTTGGCTCTAGATGCCAACCCCGAAATGTAGTTTTGCCTTTGTGCATTCCTGCATTCTATATGTTTCCCATCTTACCTTTATTTCTAACTTTTTGAAAGTTAGTTGCTGGGCATTTCCCCATTATTTTTTCATTCTCTCATACATTAGCTAAGCCATTGCCCAGTGGGAATAATAGCCTGATATATTGGAGGGACCATAGGTCAATGGTAGAGTGCATGTTTTGCATGTATCTGGTCCCAGAGATATCCTTTGGTGGTACAGGGACCCCTGGCAGAGGGCAAAGAAAGTCCCTATGCCCCAAGCCTTGGAGCGTTGCTGCCATTCAAAGTGGTCAAAACTGCTGGGCTGGCTCCATCAAGGGCAGCTTCATATGTTCATCGTCAGAGGGACATTGGTAAACAACTGACAGGCAGGACTGAAACAGACATTATTAAGATATCAGCTTTGCTCTACAGCCACTGTCAGTGCTTAGTTTCCAAAGGCAGAAGTGTTCAAATGGGCTTGGAAGTAAAAGCTCTGAAAGATCTGCTCTCTAATCTCATGTGTCTAGAGAGTAAGTGATGGATGTCTGGTAATGAAAGAAAGATATTGTGGACATGTTTGAAAGTCCCATTGCTTTCTGTTGTTAAAAACGTTTCTCAGGGTTGGGTCTCAGGCTCAGCTTTGGAATACAGTTATAGGTATATAAAGGTAAAGGGACCCCTGACCATTAGGTCCAGTTGTGACCGACTCTGGGGTTGCGGCGCTCATCTCGCTTTATTGGCTGAGGGAGCCGGTGTACAGCATCCGGGTCATGTGGCCAGCATGACTAAACCGCTTCTGGCGAACCAGAGCAGCGCACAAAAATGCCATTTACCTTCCCGCCAGAGTGGTACCTATTTATCTACTTGCACTTTGACATGTTTTCGAACTGCTAGTTGGCTGGAGCAGGGACCGAGCAACGGGAGCTCACCCCATCGCGGGGATTCAAACCGCTGACCTTCTGATCAGCAAGTCCTAGGCTCTTTGGTTTAACCCACAGCGCCACCCACGTCCCTCAATATAGGTATATACTCTTGACCAAATTATGCCATTGATTTTGTGTGTGTGTGTGAGAGAGAGAGAGAGTGCACAAAGAAGTCACTGTAAGAGAAAGAGATGAAGAAATGGCAGTGTGTTGCTTGACAAAATGAAGAAAGAAAGAAAGAAAGGAAGGAAGAAAGGAAGGAAGGACATATTCCATGGGAGCTTGATGAAGAGAGGAAAGGCAGCTGGACTGCTACCAAAAAATAGTTGGATGTCCAAGTAATTACAATTCGACAGTTAAACTGAGAAAGTAAGGCGGGAAAAGGAATTGTGTGTGTATGCGTGTGTTTTTTCCCCAGCACAAAGCTGAGAAAGAACAGCAAACGGCAGGTCTTTGTGTCAAAATTGGTATTTGAGAGCGACCTCTTGCTTCTCTTTAGAACAGAATAATCCTTCAGAGCATCAAGCAACAAAGAAAGCAATTGTGAGCACTATTCCAGGCGCCTGTCAATGGCCTTCGAACAAAACAACCACTGAATTTCATAGCCGCTCTCAGACATATTTTTCTCTCACCCCAACAAAAGTGCCAAGCGCATAAGTATAGAGGGAGATGCTAAACATTGTCCAAAGTATTAAAATCAAGTCACAAGCAAGGCAGCAGCAGCATCAACCAAGGAACAGCCAAGGATTTAACATGGCCCTACTGCTGCCCTCATACTTTGAGCCTTCTTAAACCCACCTAGAGACTGATTTACTCCTGTGACAGTCTATTAACTTGGAACATTGCTAAGTTTGGGCCTCCTGCAGGGACACATACATATAGATTAAGAACACCCTCATAAGACCAAAGTGAATGAAAGCTGCAGATTACTCTCCCCCCAACCCGAATCCTTTCCTCACATATTTCTATAGGCAAAACACAAACACAAACTTGGAAGTACTTTGAACTACATTTTAAAAATTTCATGCACAGCATAGCACCATTAAAATCCAATAGGACCTGCTGAAATTCTGTTGAGAGGTGCAGTTTTGGATATCCTGAACACGACCTTCTATAGCGGGTGTGGATTTCCACAGTTCTCTCATCAAAGAATGGTAACAGGATATAGTTCATTTTAGAAAGTTGTTTCAGTAGCAGTTATTTGATCTCCATGTCACCCAACTACATTTTGCTGAAGAATGAATACTGTACACGGGTCTTTGAGTGTGTCAATCACTCTCAAAGGCCAAATGTGAAAGAGGGCACCAATACAGTCAGCTGCAGCTGAAACAATTTTGATTTTTGAAAAATCAAAACTTGTAGACGTTTCAGATTTGATCTTAGCATTTGATGGTTTTGTGTCAACTCTTGATGTTACCTGAATAGTCAAACTAATGAATAAAGCAGTACAAAAACCAGCACTGATAATTGCTGATTAACTCTCAAGTACTAACACTGACCACTATTGCATATTAGCTGCCAAACATACAAAACATTTTTGTATGTCAGATACAGTGGTACTTCTGGTTATGAACTTAATTTGTTCCGAAGGTCCATTCTTAAGCTGAAACTGTTCTTATCCTGAGGTGCGCTTTCGCTAATGGGGCCTCCCACTGTGCGTGCACTTTCCGTTCGCATCCTGGGGCAAAGTTTGCAACCAGGAGCAGCTACTTCCAGGTTAGTGGAATTCGTAACCCAAAGCGTTCATAACCCGAAGCGTTCGTAACCAGACGTACCACTGTATATTGTTTGATGTTTTATTGTGTTTTTAATATTCTGTTGGGAGCTGCCCAGAGTGGCTGAGTAGGCCCAGCCAGATGGGTGGTGTATAAGCAAATAATAATAATAATAATGCTTTAAATGAAGAATTTATTTCAGTGCTGTTGAGTGATGATGATGATTTCTATACCACCCTTTATTCAAGGATCACAGGGTAGTTTACAATATAAAAACACAAAAATGTATACCAACATAGTAACAAACAAAACCATAACCCCCACAGTTTAAAACACCATAGATTGTTCAATTAGGAGTGCCTGGCGTGCTCTGGTCCATGGGGTCACAAAGAATCAGGCACGACTAAACAACAACAGATTGTTCAATTAGCCAAAGGTCTGGGAGAAGATTAATGTTTTTGCCTGGTGCCTAAAAGTATTTAACAAATGTACCAGGTGAGCATCCCTGAGGAGAGCATTCCACAAATGGGGAAACTGCAGAAAAGGCCAGTTCTTGTGTTGCTGTCCTCTGAACCTCTTGTAGAGGAGGCACATGAAGAAGGGCCTCAGATGATGATCACAGGGTGCTTGGTTCTTATGGGGGAAGGCAGTCCTTGAGGTACTGTGGTCCTGAGCCATTTAAGGATTGAGAGGTCAAAACCACCACATTGAATTGGGCCCAGAAACTGGCAGTCAGTGCAACTGGGCCAGGATTGGCATTATGTGTTCAAATAGTCTTTCCTGGTGAGCAACCTGGCCACTGAATTCTGCACCAGCTGAAGTTTCTGAACTGTACTCAGAGGCAGCCCCATGTATAACAGGTTGCAGTAATCTAACCTAGAGGTCACTAGAGCATAAATAACAACAGTTAGGCTGACCCTGACCAGATAGGGGCACACTACCAAGATCAAAAACATGAAAAGCTTCCTTATACCTAATCAGACTATTGACCCATCTAGATCAGAATTCTCTACACAGACTGGCAGTGGCTCTCCTGAGTTTTCATGTAGCAGTCTTTCCCAGTTTACCTGGAGAAGTCTGGGATTTAACTAGACACCTTTTAAAGCAGCCTTCTCCAGCATGGTACCTGCTAGATGTTCTAGACTTTGCTCCTATCAGCCTCAGCTAGCATGACAAGCGTTTAAGTAGTGTGTTTAAGTTGAAAAAAATTGGGAGGCCACCAAACTGTGGTAAGGCTGTTCTACAGCATCTACTTTACCACTGAGCTACCAGCCTCTCCTTCAAATAAAACCAAATATCCAATAGTGAAGGCAAATATCACATGCTAAGACAAAATACCAGACATCATTTTATGCCAGACACAGAATATTCAGACAAAAATGTGGCAAAATTCCTTAAAAGCCATTGATCTATTGATCTTTCATGAATTTGTCTAGTGTTACTGAAGTTGTTCTCTACCTGCTCTTCCCACACATTGCTTTGTCTCAGACTGCTGCTGAATCTGTTCCATTGATTTGGTTGAACTGATTCTGGGTTCTCTGTTGCTTAACTTCCTTACCTACTAGAATCTCATCTAATCTGGCCTGCCTACGATGCCCACCACGTATAACCTTTCGCAGAGTCAGTATGAAGTTGTCACCCCTAGAGAAACTGACCTCTCAATATAGTCACTATCGCAGACTGTCTATGAACATTCCATGTTGCTGGTTCCATTTACAACATTAGAATACCTGTGAACATTCCATGGAATCTTGTAAGCTCAGACCATTGTGCGTTACAATATGGATACTGTGGCCCAAACAGCATGCTGTCATGTGACTAATGACCATCACTTAATGCCTATCACTGGCTGGTGAGTTAAATTAGGTTTGCAAGAACAACCACAAACCCAGAATTTGAATTTGCAAAATCAACACAGCTGTGTTTGGTTTTAAAGGCTGTAATTGTCAAGGAAGAAAGGCAACAAACATGCACAACTACAGCAGTCCCACCCTTTCAAAGAACTGTCAGCAGAGCCTGAACATTCAGTACCATGGCTACTTGCTAATTGAACGGATGGTCCAAAGAAAAATAATTGACTAGAGAGAATTAAGAGAGGAGCTGCAACAATAGAACATTCTAAAAGGACTATCACAACGAATGACTGAGGGAGCCCAGCATAATTAGGAAAGGAAAGGACATTTCCATGCTTTATATATATAAATAAAAAAGTTACTAGCAAAAGAGAGGGAGAATAATTGTTCATTGTATTCTGGTTGCATGAGAATCCAGTTGAATGATAAATCAGGAGACAGGACTGATTTAAACATTTCCACCTAACTACATGAACTGTTAGTAGCTTCTCTGAAAGTTATCAATGAATATGGAAAGTTTTAGTAATATTCAAGATGATAATATAGAATTGGGCTATCAAATCTGTTTAAGCTGCTTATGTGAGACACCTCTTTAACTTTCTGCTTATTATTGCCACCCTACTTGTGTGACAGAATAATACCTGTTAGAATCTAAACCCATTACAATTGAATTCAGTCACAGCACATGATCTGGATAAGAATAATAAAGCCATTATATGTTGTTGCAAAGGGGTTTTTAAAGCATTTCTCCAACTGCACAAAATCTCCTTCAGACACCCCACATTTTAAAAAAGTTTGTTTACACCCTGCATCCGTGGCGGTTTAGCCATAGATGTCTGTAGTTATTATCTCCTACATAGGGACAATTCATTTATGAATCTGCCTTAGTAGTACAGTAACTAACAGCAACAAAAAAGGGAGAGTACTTTAAGGGTATTTACATGGATGCAATGAAGAGGTGAAGGCTGATGATCTGATTAAAGAGGAAAGGGTATATTAATATGGTTTGGGAAGTGGGCTCTAAGTATGGAAACTGAATACATTCAGCCCTGATATAATTTGTGTACATACTGTCCCAGACACTGCCTGTCATTTAAATGCTAAATCAACAAATATGCCTAATGTGTTTAATCCCCTTCCCATTTTCAAACTGAACATCATCAGCTTTCCAAATCCAGGACATTTTACCAGTTCCGTAATTTGTGTCCAACACACTTAAAATAAATATTGCTGTGGCAATTACACCGTAATCCAAAATCCAGCTGCACTTTTCTCAGCTACAAGAAATGTGCACATCACATACTAAATGCCATCGCTATGGGTTAAAATCCTCACGGATGAGGCCATTAGGTGAAGATGCGCAAATATAGTAATAGAACAAGAGCCACTGAAAGAACAGCAAATCTTAACTTACTAACAAGTTAATTATGATCACTGATATTTAATAATATTTTAGTCAGCTGTCTTCTGGTAGATGTCCTACTTGCTTCTAGTGACATTTACTTTTGCTTTCCTCACTACACTCTAGCTCTTCATTATGGGTGGACTAAAGACAGGACATCCACATGAAAACAGGAATTTCAAGAAGGATTGGATAAAGAATTTAAGCACATCAAACAAGAACCAGATACTGATCCCTACTTTTCATTGGCCAGTTTTTATGGAGTGTAAGAAGTCTAGTTTGGGATATAAGAAAGGGCCAGATTCCACATTACTTCACTCTCAACCCAGGTCACTTTAGGAGGGAATTGAGTGCATGCAGCTCTTCCTCATCCACCTGATAAGCCATCCTTGTAGGGATAGGAATGTCCAAATGCTACCTATACACATAGATTTCAGCACATGTAAAGAGAAAATGCACAATAGTTGTAATCAAGTCAGGAAGTCATCTCTGTGAATTGAATGAATTCAGAAGTTCTGCCCAGCTAGGAATAGGCAGTAAGGCAATATATGGCTCATGGGAGAAATATCTTCCACTCCATCCCAAAGACATTGGCAAGGTTGTTCATAATGAAGCAACAAAGCCCTACACGATGCTTATTAAGGATACCCCCCCCTTTTAAGCCTTTGTTAATTTTGAAAATGGCTGTTCAATGGGAAAAAAAGCTCAAACCACATTCCAGCAGACAAAACAGTGAGGCTTAAATGTGTATAACATGTACTGGATTGCAGCCTGTGTCCTTGACTGCTTATACAAGAAAACGAAACACTTCTTAAGAATCGTTCATGTTAAGCCTGGTGCTGCACAAAGGGATGAGCATGATTACTTTCCCAATACTAAAACTCTATTATTCTAGGACTACAAAAGGTATCTTGAAACCTAAGAAATAATAAATGTCATTCTGTGATCACAAGCTGGTGGCTGAAACGTTACAGGGACATGGAAAGGGATCAAAAAGATAGGATGGGGGAAAGAAGTATCAGAGGAACATCTGTGCCCAGGGACTACTAATGCAAACAATTTCTCAGTATCTTCTACTTACTAGTTACAGCATACAGACAAGCTTGCATGAGAACAACAGTGAGCCTTGAGTGTCATTCAGAGGTCACCACCAAGGCAGGAAGTTGGGGAAGGGAGGCAAATACTATGCTGACAATTATTTTGCAAATTGAGCATGCACAATTGCCATGCCTTATTTGTTTTATGCTGAACAGCAACTTTATGATCTGAACATGCCATCTTGGGTGTATAAATTAGATTTCTAAGTACAGTGGTACCTCGGTTTTCGAACGTCTCCATTGACGAACATTTCAGTTTTCGAGCACCATAAACCTGGAAGTAAATGCTACGGTTTTCGAACATGCCTCGGAAGTCGAACTTCTGAGGTGGCTTCCGCTGAGTGTAATATCCTGTCAGCTGGAAACCGCGCCTCGATTTTCGAACATTTCAGAACTTGAATGGTCTTCCAGAACAGATTACGTTAGAAAACCGAGGTACCACTGTAAACAGAACGATGTAACAACTGAATTGCTGGCTATATTTAAGTGGAAAAGGTGAACTAGTGAAGAATGGAAACACTGTCTGTTCTTACAGCTCAAGAATGTTGACAGCATACTTGAATAAATCCCAGTAATCATTTGCATCTTTGATCCTAGCTAATAAGAACCGGACAGAGAGACAAATAGCAATTAATATGCTCTAAGAGGAAAGAGTGGACCTGAATGTCTTAAAATAGGGGCAGTCAGGGGTGCCAAATTGAATAAAATATGGGGGGGCGGTAAGCCCCGCCCCACATAATCAATCACACGATGTGGCGCATGCACACATGCACACACACACACACAATTTGAATTGAAATGCCTATCAACTTTAGGGGGACAGCCCCTTCAAATATTTAATTGGGGAGTGAAGGGACCTCAGCCCCTAGCAGTTGGCTTCTATGGGGGCAGCTAAAATTTGGGACTGCTGAGAACTAGAGTCCTGGGCAAACAAATGGAGTGGGTTATCTCAATATATTGTACAATCCCTCTTTCCAAGACTGATCTCCATATATATGGGAAGAAAATACTTCCTCACCCCTGCAATAGACCTTTGAGACAAGAATGTCTCCCGCTGGTTTTTGGTTTTTGTCCCTCAGACACAGTGTTTTGTTGGTGGGGAGGGCATCTTTAAAAAGTAGCCCCTGTGCAAATGTTTCCTGCTTGGCAGGGGGTTGGACTCGATGGCCCTTGTGGTCTCTTCCAACTCTATGATTCTATGATTCTATGATCCATTTGCACGAGATGTTTTCTAAGGCTGCACCCAAAAATAATATTGGAGGGCAGTTCCATCACCATGAGGATGCCCTGAGGGAATTTATATTTTTATTTTTTTGAGCCCGAGAGTAGGTTTGTTCAGTCCCACTATGGAAAACATCCTGTGGAAACCAATGGAAATTATCCCTGTCTGTTTGCACAGAGACAGCTTTCAAAGCTGGAGAAGAATTCTGGGCTTCTTATGCTCTATTCTCTTTTGAAGCAAACCATCGCTCCCCTAAACTTTGTTTCTGGGTATGAGGCCAGGGAACATCATCATCATATCAAAACATGTAGCATCTGTTCACCATGTAATTTTATTATAACAATGCCAAGCATCATCCTCATTTGCTTTATTTTAAAAAAAGTTCTCTAGGCATGTGGATACCATTTAACAAAATTTTGCATGATGGTTCCTGAGCTCAAGGAGCAAGCCTCTTGTCTACATTTGGATACAACTGGAAGCCCTATTGGATGAAGATGCCAGTCTGGCCCTTTCAAAACTGGTTTTAACCACTGATTCCAAAACTTTATAAGGCCTCTTAGAATTCACTGGGCAATTTCTGCTAGTTATTATTATTTTGCTTACAGAGAGTGCACTAGATATCCTGAAGATATTCTTGTCCTTTGCTTCAATTATGAGGGCTTATCACTTACCAGATTTTTTTTAAAAAATGAATCCTATAATAACACAATATGAGTACGCTGATTAATTTACCAGTACAGCTGGATTGAAAGTCGGCAATAATCCTATTATTCATTTACCTTCATAGCCTGGACTTCCTTGGAAATCACAGTACCAGATCTAAGTAGAAACTGTTTATTTTTCACAATGAAAACAATCTTGAAGCATATACTCCCCTTTTCTTTTCAAAAACATACTTCTTCAGGCATCAAGATTCCATTTAGATATGGGAAGGACTTTGGAAGGTTCTAAATCTCATTCAGCAAAGAGGTGAGAGCACTATCAATGTTTGGAAAACAGGAAGTTGCTTTCCGTCCATTGGTCCATAATGGTCAATATTGTCCACACTGACTGGAAATGGCTCTTTGTCAGGGACTGGGCAGAGAAGGAATGGTGGAGACCACCTCCCCAGCCTGACCCTTCCAGAGAAGAGGAAGACAGTTTAGATTTACAGCAGGGATTTGAGGGAGGTCACAGCTCAGAGGCAGATGAGGGGGAAAGTTGGGAAATCATGGGAGAGGAGGAAGAGGAAGTGGAAGCACCAGGAGGGCAACAGGAGGAGAATGAGGCTAGAGACAGCACAGGAGGCAATGTGAGAGCATCTTGGAATGGGTGAGAGGGACTGAAGGATGCAGAATGCCTGAACTGATTCACATTCCCATCCAAGACAAGGTTCCTCACTTAGGGATACTTCGGATACCATTTGTGAGTAAGAAAACCTGTGAGAAATCCATATACTTGTGCTGCACACATATTATTCCGAGAGGGAAATTTATGCCATCTGATAAGACCAGACTCCGGTGTACACTTTCACCAGATGGTTGAAAGACTTGGTCAGAATAAAAGAACAAGGCAAGGATATTTTAAACAATGGTAATTGGGACTAGGGATTCAGAGCACAATTAGGAACATTATAAATAAACTATGGCACATCGTTGAAGATATTCCTGGCTGTAAAGATCCACCCCTTTTGGGCCTGAGAAAGAAAGGGTCCCTACGAAATCAATTAGTTAGGACTGACTGTCTAGAACCATCATCTACAATTACGAGAGGTCATTACAGATGTGGCAAATGTAATATGTGCCCCTATAGTCTGCAAGTGAAAGAGATTAAAAGTGAACATATGCGGTTTACTTACAAAATTAATTCCATGACAACTTGTAACTCAAAGAATGTTCAAGGTTTTTTCCTTTAAAGACTTCTGCAGACTTAAAATACTACTGATCCCTCCTTCCTGTGCATTGGTGGGGCTGCTTTGGCTACAGGTAAAAAAAAAAAAAACGGTAAAGGACCCCTGGGCAGTTAAGTCCAACATCAATCATGTCTTGAATATCAGAAATGAAATGTATTGATTGATTGACTTGCAAAATCTCTGTACTGCCAAGGGGAAAAAAAAGATAAGGGTGGGTATGGTAGTTGGGTATATGCTAAATTAAACTAATCCTATATTCCACTGCCACTTTGGGAGTCTTGAGGCTGTGTTATTTGCCATCCTAATTACTCAATATAAAAATCTGTATTTACATGAAAGTAGTATCTTTTTATTTATTTTAGAATGAGTGGATTCCCTAAATTTCAATCTGTCATAGTTCCAACATTCCAGAGCTTTTCAGTCTATCTGAATTCCATTGCAGAAAGTTAGAAATGGAACAAATGTTCCTGGTTTGGAACCCATTTTTATTTAATATAAAAAGAATTATGCAGTTATGCAATTTTCAAAAGGTGTTGGTTGTTCCATATGGTCAAAGCAACCAACTGCAACTGCAGATCAAAGTTTGGCTGGAGGGCCTCTCTCTCATTTTACTTGCTGTAATCAATACAATGCCATTCATTCAAGATGACCTGAGGCACGTTCTGACTTTAGACAGACAGACATTATTTGAATTAAGCAAAGTGCTTGATTTTCCATAGCACTGCTGGAGGAGAGAAGCATGGAGAATACACCGCCAATACCTCCTACAGAATTGTGAATTGATTTGGGCTGGTAGTATTCTGCTACCCTTACAATGAATTTTCATTGACTAAATGAAGCTGTAGGATACCCAGAGGTCTACTGTAAGCAGCAGGTGACTTGGTGGTTGGTCAGGCTTATTAATAACAATAATGGCAGTAATATTGATAATGGTAACAGATAGGTGGAATCTGACATAGCACTAGGGCAATTTTTGCACAAGCAAAAGGACTTTTACTTGCATAGCACAATGTTCTGCCCCTCTTCTCCTGCTCTGTCCCTCCTAAATCTGTTCTAATGGTTTTCCCCAACCCTCTGGAGCAGATTTAAGGAGTGCACATATGGAAATCCTTGCATTGAAGGGACTCATTCGTGGAATGTCGCTTATTATTGTTATGGTTACTGTTATTATTTCTCACCTTTCCTCCAAGGAGCTCAAGGTCATGTACATGGTTTCCCCCTTTCCCTTTTTATTCTCACTACAACCTGCTTAGCTGAAAGATGGCAGCTGGCCCAAGGACGCCAAGTGAGGCTTGTGGTTGATTGAGGATTTGAGAACCCAGGTCTCCCTGGACCTACACTTTAACCATTACATTACACTGGTACAAAAGTTACAGCGCAGGAGACCCTAATGAAGGAGGCCAGGACAGAAACAGAAGCAATGGTAGTGCCCAGGACTGCAAAGTTTGTAACTTCCCAGTACGTTTCCGAGCACGATTCAAAGTGTTGGTGCTGACCTTTAAAGCCCTAAACGGCCGAGGGCCTTCTGGCGGTTCCCTCATTGCGAGAAGTAAGGTTACAGGGAACCAGGCAGAGGGCCTTCTCGGTAGTGGTGCCTGCCCTGTGGAACGCCCTCCCAGCAGATGTCAAGGCAATAAATAATTATTTTACTTTTAAAAGACAACTGAAGGCAGCCCTCTTTAGGGAAGTTTTTAATGTCTAATGCTGTACTGTTTTTAATATTCAGTTGGAAGCCGCCCAGAGTGGCTGGGGAAACCCAGCCAGATGGGCGGGGTATAAATAAATTATTAATTATTATTATTACTTCATTAGAGAGGGAGCAGTGGTGGACCTCAGGGCCTCAAATTTCATCAATGCCCTGTGTGAGGCCAAAATTCGGCACCCCTCTGCCTCTTGCCTTCCATTCTACTTCATAGCTGTGGTGCCCCTGAGGGTCTGCTCCCAGTGCAAGGATGATAGCTTTTAAGACTTGTGGCTGTGCCTCGTGTCCTAACAGAATCATAAGGACTGTAATGTGAGTTATGCCCACTGTTAGTTTGCCTGGATTTCCCCAGCCACTCTGGGCAGTTTACAGCATAGGTCTTGCAGAGATCTGACTCACCTGAAGGAACTCTAGCAGCTGATGCTTCCTTTCTTCTCTGATTGTGAGCTGCAAAACAGCCCACAGCTGGTGGGCAGCATGTTCTCCTGGGTTCTTGCTCCTTTATACAACAACCTGCTATACTGAAAGATGGCAGCTGGTGAAGCTTGTGGCTGAGTGAGGATTTGAGAACCCAGGTCTCCCTGGACCTACACTTTAACCATTACACTACACTGGTACAAAAGTTACAGTGCAGGAGACCCTAATGAAGGAGGCCAGGACAGAAACAGAAGCTATGGTAGTGTCCAGGATTGTGAAGTCTGTAATTTAATTAGCGAGGGAGCAGTGGTGGACCTGAGGGCCTCAAATTTCAGCAGCGCCCTCTGTGAGGCCAAAATTCGGGACCCCTCTACCTCTTGCCTTCCATTCTACCTCATAGCTGTGGTGCCCCTGAGGGTCTGCACCCAGTGCAACTGAACCAGTCGTGCTCCCCTAAATCTGCCTCTAGAGGCAGGAAGAGTGAGATGATACCTGTCATGCTTCTGTGTTTGGTGAGCTAGAAAACATCCTGGATGCTGACATGAAGTGAAAGCAGAGAAAAAGCACAATGAAAAATTAAGATGTGATGGTTTGGGGCCAGGCCATGAAGGTCAAGGGATGGGGAGGGCAACTGTGAAACACAATGATAAGCACAGAACAGGATTTAGCAGGGAACTGAAAGAATGTGACATTTCCTCCAGAGCAATGGTAGCCAACAGGTAGCTTCCAGATGCTGTTGGACTACAATTCCCATCATCCCTGACTAGCAGTAATACTAACTGGATTTTAACAACATCTGGAGGGCATCACATTGACAAACCATCTTTCAGGAGGATGTGGTGCCTGGGCCATAATGTTTTTCTTACCACAATTTTTTTTTGTATGCTATTTTCATTAACATATGCATTTTTTGCATACTTCACGCTAGTAAGTATATTTTTGCACACATTTCTTGGCTCCATGTGCGTCCCTCCCAAAGCTGTGTGCTCGGTGGAAGAGGATGACCATCCCAGATAGGAGTGTACTGTTCTTCGGTCAAGGGTATACGATAGCTGTGTTCCCCTGCTAGAACCTCCAAACCAGCTTGAGAGTATACCTATATTGTTCTGCATCTCTCTCTCTCTCTCTCTTTCTCTCTCTCTGTCTGTCTCTCTCACACACATATACCCACATAGAGAGAAGAGACATTATTAAATATTGCAGCTGGCATGGAAAGCTGCTTGCATGAAATAAAGTTTATTCCTGAAAACAAAGTGCTTGTGTACTTTGAACATCAATGGCATCATCCAATGAATACCACATCACTTCACTGCCCTATAATCTCCCTCAACTAGTAGAACACAAATCTGTCCTGTAAACTTGCAGAGTATAATTCTGCCACCTGTAAAGGACAATTCCACCATGATTTTTTCCTTAAACATTCTCATTACACATGCACCAGCACACACGCACACACATACACACAAATGGTTAGCAATAAAAATGTTTTAGTACTGTAAGCAAACCCAGCTGGTTCATACAACAAAATTATATATTTCAAACTGCATATTACATCCATTCTCTGGTTCTTACCCACTTTACCACTATCTGAAAAGTATGCACACAAAGAAACCTAATTTGTGTTATTGTGTGTGGTGAAAGCCCAAGGCACAACAGATGCTTGTCCAACTCTCCTGTCCCCCATACATGCTTATCTTTCTTTCCACATAAGTAGTCCAAAAACACAGAATACACCCAATCAAATCTAAGCCCTTTCAACTCTCCCCAAAGCACTTGGCAATGCACAGCCTTGAGCTGCACATTTTAAGGACTGAAACCAACACTCCTTGTTCTTGCACTGCAGCTGCCCCCCAATGCCTGAAAGTCTGCACAGGCTAATGGGCCACACAGGGTGGGAATTGCATGTGTGTGTGTTTGCTGGGGTGTGTGTGTGTGCAGAGAAGCAAGGCAATCTGAAGACATGCTGGGGCTGCAAGCAGCCAATTCTTCTAGGCTACTCACAAGCCATGTGTCCTGGAGAGCCACTGCCAGTCAGTGTGGACCAGTGCTTCTCAAGCTATCTGATGTGGTGGAGTGGCATTCCACACCCCAACTGTGCCAGGGACCAGTGCTATATTAGGTCCCTGAAGCATCTCATCCAACCTGGGCTGTGGTAAAATCACTGGGGACCAGCAACTAACTGATGGCTCACTGAACAGCACTGGGTCACAGGATTCAGCTGCAAACAGAGAAGCACTGAATATGCTCATATTCAATTCTCAGGTAAAACTTTCTATTGAGTCGACTGTTTTTTTTACTGGAGAAACACTGAGATTGTGCAAATAGGTCTCATTTTTTAAACAGAGGTTCAGCACCACTGTTTCTCTTGGCTGCTGTTGCTGAAACAAAGCCATTCCCCCTCCACTTCGTTGATGATTCTCTTCCTTCTTAGATTAGTCCTGTGGATGACCCCACTGAATCAGCCATCGGCCCATGAATGAAAATGTCCAAATTCCTCTTTATAATCATAATACTGGTAGGCTTGAATCTTCTCTCTTTAGTAAAGTATTACATTAAGTGGTACCTCGGTTTACGAACTTAATCTGTTTCTGAAGTCCGTTCTTAAACCGAAACTGTTCTTAAACCGAGGCATGCTTTCCCTAATGAGGCCTCCCACCACCAGTGCCCTTCCACCATTCAGATTCTGTTCTTAGACCGAGGTAAAGTTCTCAAACCGGGACACCATTTCCAGTTTTGCGGAGTTTGTAAACCGAATGTTTCTTAAACCGGACTGTTCTTAAACCGAGGTACCACTGCATATGGCATTCCCCAACCCTTGAACATGACTCTATTTATACCTAGGAATGTGAATAAGAAAGTCTTATTGCTGAATTATCTGAAGAAGATACAGGTGAAACTTGGAAAATTAGAATATCGTGGAAAAGTTCATTTATTTCAGTAATTCAACTTAAAAGGTGAAACTAATATATGAGATAGACACATGACATGCAAACTGAGATATGTCAAGCCTTTATTTGTTATAATTGTGATGATCATGGCATACAGCTGATGAAAACCCCAAATTAACAATCTCAGAAAATTAGAATATTAAATGAAATCAGCAAAACAAGGACTGCAAATAGAGCAATATTTGACCTTTGAGAAGTAGAAGCATGCATATGTACTCAGTACTTGGTTGGGCCCCTTTTGCATCAGTTACTGCTTCAGTGTTGCGTGGCATGGATGCTATCAGCCTGTGGCACTGCTGAGGTGTTATGGAAGACCAGGAAGCTTCAATAGCAGCCTTCAGCTCTTCTGCATTGCTCGGCCTCATGTCTCTCATCTGTCTCTTGGCAATGCCCCATAGATTCTCTATGGGGTTCAGGTCAGGCGGGTTTGCTGGCCAATCAAGCACAGTAATCCCATGGGCACTGAACCAGGTTTTGGTACTTTTGGCAGTGTGGCCAGGTGCCAAAGTCCTGCTGGAAAATGAAGTCAGCATCCCCATAAAGCTCGTCTGCGGAAGGAAGCATGAAATGCTCCAAAATCTCCTGGTAGATGGCTGTGTTGACCCTGGACTTAATGAAGCACAGTGGACCAACACCAGATGATGACATGGCTCCCCAAATCTCTTTTCTGATGAGAGCAGCTTTTGCCATCTCATTTGGAAACCAAGGACCCAGAGTCTGGAGGAAGAATGGGGAGGCACACAATGCCAGATGCTTGAAGTCCAATGTGAAGTTTCCACAGTCTGTGTTGATTTGGGGAGCCATGTCATCAGCTGGTGTTGGTCATTTAATATTCTAATTTTCTGAGATTGTTAATTTGGGGTTTTCATCAGCTGTACGCCATGATCATCACAATTATAACAAATAAAGGCTTGACATATCTCACTTTGCATGTCATGAGTCTATCTCATATATTAGTTTCACCTTTTAAATTACTGAATTACTGAAATAAATGAACTTTTCCACGATATTCACCTGTAATTATCACTGGGGCATTTGAACTTTGCCATTTTTACCATTAAAAGCTATGTCCTCTTTATGCCTTTGAAACAATTTGCAATGCCCATCTATTCCCACTATATTGATTCTATGATTCCATCACATGAATGTTCTTGGTTGTAGAAATTAAGAAAGTAATGTATGTTTCTTACATAAAAAGGTAAAGGTACCCCTGCCCATAAGGGCCAGTCTTGCCAGACTCTAGGGTTGTGCGCTCATCTCACTCTATAGGCCGAGAGCCAGCCCTGTCCGCAGACACTTCCGGGTCACGTGTCCAGCGTGACAAGCTGCATCTGGCGAGCCAGCGCAGCACACGGAATGCCGTTTACCTTCCCGCTATAAAGTGGTGCCTATTTATCTACTTGCACCCGGAGGTGCTTTCGAACTGCTAGGTTGGCAGGCGCTGGGACCGAACGACGGGAGTGCACCCCGCCACGGGGATTCGAACCGCCGACCATGCGATCGGCAAGTCCTAGGCGCTGAGGTTTTACCCACAGCGCCACCCGTGCCCCCATGTTTCTTACATAGATCAGAACAAAAAGCAAGCGAGTACTGATACTCCAGCATCCATAATCTAGCAGGTCAAGATACCTGCTGTAAAACTGTTACCCTGGCATTTTATATAAGTGATCCATATAAAGCACAGGCTACATTACTGAATCTGAGGCTCCCAGTCCTTCCACTTTCGAACAAAGTGCGGTCCATTTGTCTCCTACACATTTCTTCTCTTGTCTTGTATTACAGCATCTGCGGTTATTCCTTGTTCTGCTTTTAATTTTCTGCCCTCTACCCTTCATGGCCTAGCCTATTTTATTGTTATTATCTCACGGGCTGTTAAGTTATTTCTCTGGAACTTTTGATACCCAACTGTGATGCTTGTCTGGAAGTGTTTGGTGCAGCTGCTTCTCTATGTGGAAGTTTTAAAATGCTATAGCCCATCTGTGTTGCTGTCTACACAACTGAAAAAAGGCTAAAACTAGTATCATATTGCATTTGGAGAAGGAGAAGAAGGAAGAACAGATGCTGTTTGGAGGCCCAATTCTACTCCAGGTAAGGAGTTGATACACTTAAGCCAGCCTCCTACAGGTAACACCTACACAACACCTGCCTGCATAAACATTTGAAGCAGTTATTATTATTATTTTAAAAAGAAACATTTCATGTATCAGCAACAGATCCATGGCAACACACCCCTTTGTGTTTCCAAGTTTATGGTGGACTTATTTTATAAATAATATAGCAACTTGAGGGTCAGCTTATTCTGACAACTAAAATATAACACTCTGTAAAAATAAGAATGCCCTCTCACCCTGTGGAAGAAACTTAGTCAGTCGATCAGATAGTTATTTAAATCCATACCTGAATGACCTTGTATAGCAGGAGTGGGAAGCTTTTCCCAGCCAAATGGCTGCATTCCCTGCTGCTCAACTTTCCAGGGCGTCACATGCCAGTGGTTTGTGGGGCCAGAAGCCAAGTGGATGGAGGCTTGAACATAGATTTTACCTGCACACACATTCACACACCCTTCTCTATCCTCCATCCAGGCAACCAAAAGTCACTTTGCCTCTGTGACCTTTTCCTCCTTCACCACAACTTTGTCCCTCCCACCCCACTCCAATGGCACAACTGTTCCTCCTCACCCAGCCCTGATGGTGCAACATTCTTGCCCCACAATGCCTCAGGCTGAGGGATGCTAGGGCAACCAGGCAAGTCTTCCCCAGAGTATTGTAGGAGCATTGCTTCTAGTGCAGGGGCTGCAATCCAACACCCACTTATCTAAATGTATGTCCACCTGAATTCAGTGGGACATCTCAAAACTGAGAGAATCGGTGGTAAAATGGCAAACAAAATTCAATGGAAACAAGTGTAGAGTGAAGCATGTTGGTGCAAAACTATCTTGCTTTCCCATATGTGCTCACTGGGTCTGAACTGGAAGCGACTGACCAGGTACAAGACCCTGCAGTTGTAGTGGATAGCTTGATGAAGAAAAAGGTGACTTCCATGCTACAGATCATTAGGAAAAGAATTAAAAATAAAACTGCTAGTATCATAATGCTATTATACAAATGTATCATGCAGCTTTATTTGGAATACTCTTATCAAAAAGAATTTAGATTTCCAAAAAGGTTCAGAAAAGGGAAATGAAAATGATGAAGAGAGTGGAACAACTCCCTATGAAGAACTGTAAATAAAACAAAACAGAGCGCAATTGGGGGTGGGTTAATGTGCAAAACAACAACAACCCTGTTGAGTAAAACTACAAATATTAGAGTTGGAAAACAGGGTCCTGGCTGGGTTCCACACCAGAACAATCAGTAGTTTAAGGAGGAAATAATTTTTCCATAATATTCCTAGCGATACCAGGGATATGATGGCAAACAAAACCAGAGTGCCAGGTACTAGAGAAAATGCTAGAGGGTGATGAAAATGTAAAGGCCTTTCTTCAAAAAAGCAGAAAACGTGCTAGGTTACATAGGCCAACCATCACATTATGAAGAAGGTCCATTAATATTTTTTCTTAAATATGGACACTGGAGACCTATTCAGAGCTGTGGTAGTGATGGAGTATTTAATCTTTCCCTCCCGTACTGTATTCCCGATCCATTTCTCTGCCCACAATGGGCAGGGTAGGTAGTTAAAACAGCTTTGGGAGTGTGATTCTGATCTGTAATCAATACACAGGAAATGGTTGAACACCCTCTTCTACAAACAAACTGGCAGCTGCCCCTCATAGCTGTATTGGGGAGGGAGTTGTTGTTGTTGTGGTGGTCAGGAGATTAACCACAGATTTCCTGCATAAAATGTAGTTGGGCCCCTGTAGTATAATCTCCTACACACCTGCCCCACATTCCTTAAATAAGGACAAAGTCATTGATACAATGCACAAAGAATGTATTATACTTATGACGAGAGGATCCTTCCCAAGCTGTCTACCATCTTTGACTAGACAGATTAATATTAATCACCTACCTACATGCTGGGAAATGAATGCTGATCATGTGGGCAGCTACAGATTAAGATGGTTCCTCCTGCTTATTCTTAGAACGGCTGAAACAGTAAGATGACTATTTCCAATGCTTGAGCACAATTGTGCTCAGCAGATAAAAGGCAGGAGGGAAGGGGAGCTGAGGGCAAACTGCTGCTACACTGATTAACAGTGCCTGCTAACTTGTCTCTAAGTTTGTAAGACAACCAGTGATGCAATAATACCATCAATGATGCAATAATGACAGGTAGACAAGCCCACTGGTAGAGAGGTTAGCTGTGGATGAAAGCTAACAACCATAGTAAAAAACAAACCCAAGACCAGCTCCATGGATTTTAAAGTACACACTGTTTATTGAACTCTTCTTTGAAATAGAATTCATTGATAATACTTCTATCCTTCTACTTGGATGGCAAAGGATCCATCAGAAGATAAGGAATTACTTTGGGTACAGATAAAATTATGACATTCAGAGTACACAGCCATTAACACAGAGTGCACAAAGCTGCTTTGTACTGAGTGTATTATTGGCCAACTATTATCTACTGCAGTCTCCACCAATCTGGTGTCTTCCAGATGCTGTAGAACTGCCTCTCCTCTCATCCCTGCTCATTGACCATGCTTGTGGTCAATGTTGTGATCAAAACATTGAGGTCAAAACATGTCAGAGGACCAGGCTGGCAGGCAAAGGCTGGTCTACTGTGAGTCTACAACTCTCCAGTGTGTTAAGCAGGTATCATTCCAGTTTTGCTACATGTGATTATTTTAATTGGGGACTGAACATAAATCCAACTGAACCCAAGCAAATGTTCTAAAGAACCAGTGAATCAAATTTTCAGATGGGAGGGGGAAAGAGCTATTTTATAAAAACCATTTCTTTTTTAAATACTAAGTCAATGTCATGGGTTTGTGTTTTTTAGGATTGTATCATTGCTTCTCACTAGCTCTAATGTCACCCATAAATTCCCACTCGTTTGCCCTTCCTTTGAGCTCCATATCAATTTTGTGCATTTCCATCACAATAGCAATGCATGACTACTTCAATCATATGTGTTAGAAGTGGGCCACAAACACTGTTATTACATACAGAGTTAATATATTTGGAATGCCAAGTTCTTCAGAACATTGTGCCTTTTAAAAGTGCCATATTAAATATAGAAAACAAAATAATCTGTAAGGAGAGCAACTGCACTGGAGTGACTAATAACTTCACATCAACAATTAATTAGTGCCGACATTTTCCTCCTGTGAAATGTCACCTTGATGCCTACTTAGAGATGTATTTTGAAATAAGCAGCTGAACAGCAGCCAACCACATTTGCCGCATGTAGATCAGCCTGTCATTCTGCACAGATTAGGCAAGGTACTGCATCACTAGATGGTGCTCATTATCTGCCAGATTTGATTCACTAAACATTAGAAGGTTATTAAAAACATGCTTTACAGAAGCAACACAACTCAGCTAGATTTATAGACACAGCTATTTAGGTTGCTTTGTTCTTCTCCAGTTTTATTAAGTTGCACCATATGTTCTTGAAACATAAATTTAGAATGACGTTTTGAGAGAGAGAGAGAGAGTTCCAGAGAGAGTTCCAGAGAGGTAGACACATGTTTGAAGAAACTAGTGTCAATAAATAGCACCCTTTCTCACAATATACAGAAGGGTAGCACCTGGTAACATTTGCTTTCTAACTTTTTGAGTGGTTCAACCTTCAATTTGTTCCCTGTGATACTGAAAATCTCATCCACTGACCTTGTTTTCTGAAACCACAATTTCCTTGCTTGGATCTCTATTTCTTCAAGACTTTGTAGGGATGAAAATCAGTATGTTCAAACTTCAGCATGAAAAGGGGAAAGGAGATGGGTGTCTTAGGAAGTGAGCATTTTAATAGCATAATTTCTGCCAGTGAATTTATATGCTGTGGAAACGTATAAATTAATGTGGAAACATGATTGCATTGAACCTTGCAAGAAATATAGAATCGAGAATCTTCTGCTCCTATCAGAAAGTACAGTGGTACCTCTGGTTAAGTACTTAATTCGTTCCGGAGGTCCGTTCGTAACCTGAAACTGTTCTTAACCTGAAGCACCACTTTAGCTAATGGGGCCTCCCGCCGCTGCCGCACAATTTCTGTTCTCATCCTGAAGCAAAGTTCTTAACCCGAGGTACTATTTCTGGGTTAGCGGAGTCTGTAACCTGAAGCGTCTGTAACCTGAAGCGTCTGTAACCAGAGGTACCACTGTATTGTATAATACAAGTAGGGGATGAAGGAAATGCGGCCCCAGGACTTTCTCCAGAGCAAGACTGATGACACCATCAGCAGTAGTGCTAGGAATAACTGACACACCATTTTTTCCACTGGCAAGTGAATGAAGTGAAAGGGAGACTTTCAAGTCCTTTACTTCACACTAGCAAGATAAATGGCAGCACTTGCTTGCAGGATTGTTTGCATCTCTAATTAAAAGCTTAAGGCTACATTGCACAATAGTAAAAAGCTTTTGTTAAAGCTCAACATGTTTTGCAGGTTTAACCCACAGAAGCAAGCACGGCTGAGTTTAGTGCTACTTACATCCAGGTCATTATGCACAGGATTGCAGTTACGCTACAAAAAAAGCTTACTATTTATGGTGCCACAGGACTCCTTCTTGAAATACTATTATTCTTCCCTCACTGTTGTACTAAAATGTCTTTAGTCAGCTGTCTGCAAGTTTGGATTCTTTACTGATTACCTACCCATCACCTTAAGGTCCCCAGAGGCGGGTCACAATATTAAAACACAGTATTAAAAACACTTTAAACGAAGTTACAATCACAAAAACAAGGTGGATCCTCAAAATATCAAAAAGCCAGTGTGCAAAGGTGCATCTTCAGCATTTTCCAGAAATTGTATAATGAAGGTGCCAGATACACCTCTGAGGGGAGTTTCACAGCTTAGAGGTCACCACAGATAAAGCCCTCTACTGGGCCACCACCAACATCTGAAGGTGGAAGAACTACCAAAATGATTCTCTATGACAATCTCAGCACCTAAGAGGTTGTGTAGGGAAGGAGACAATCTTTCAGGTACCGTATTTTTCGCCCTATAGGACGTACTTTCCCCCCTCCAAAAATGAAGGGGAAATGTGTGTGCGTCCTATGGGGCGAATGCAGGCTTTCACTGAAGCCTGGAGAGCGAGAGGGGTTGGTGTGCACCGACCCCTCTCACTCTCCAGGCTTCAGGAAGCTATCCCCCCAGCCCCGCAAGCTCCCAGAGCGATGCCGAAGCTGCGCGCAGCTTTGGCATCGCTCTGGCTCCCGTTCTGGGGGCTGGGGTCGGGGGAAGCTCGGGCTTCCCCTGCCCCCAGCCCTGCGCCTGGGGGGGGGATAATTTTTTTCCCTTTATTCCCCCCCCCCAAATCTAGGTGCGTCCTATGGGCCGGTGCATCCTATAGGGCGAAAAAGATGGTATTTGGGGCCTGAGTCATTTAGACCTTTAAACACTAATGCGAACACCTTAAATTTGCCCTAGAAACCAATAGGCAACCATAGAATCACCATTTAGAGATAGTAGGGATGCTGAGGGTCATCCAGTCCAACCCAACCCCCTGCAATGCAGGAATCTCAAGTAAAGCATCCATGACAGATGGCCATTCAACCTCTGCTTAAAACTTTTCAAGGAAGGAGATTCCACAACCTCCCAAGGAAGACCTTTCCACTGTCAAACAGCTCTTTCCATCACAAAGGTCTTCCTGGTGTTTAGTTGCAATCTCCTTCCTTGTAACTTGAAGACAGTGGTTCGAGTCCTACCCTCCAGAGCAGAAAAAAAAACCAATCTATCTTCCATGATAGCCCTTCAGATAGTTGAAGATAGCTATCATATTTCTTCTCTGTGTCTTCTTTTCCAGGCTAAACACACCCAGCTCCTTCAACCATTACACATAAGGCTTGGTTTCCAGAAACTTGCCTTCCTCTGCACGCATTCCAGCTTGTCAGCATCCTTCTTAAACTGTGATGCCCAGATCTGGACACAGTATTCCAGGTGTGGTCTGACCAAGGCAGAATAGGGTGGTACTATTACTTTCCTTGATCTAGACACTATACTTCTGTTGATGCAGCCTAGATTAGCACTAGCTTTTTTTGCTGCTGCCTCACACTTTGACTCATATTAAGCTTGTGGTCCACCAAGACCCCTAGACCCTACTAGTAAGCCAGGTGTCCCATTTTATATTTGTGCAGCTAGTTCTTGGCCAAGTGCAGAACCTAACATTTGCCCCTACTGAAATGCATTTTGGGCCCAGTTCTCTAATCTGTTAAAGGCATCTTGAATCCCAGTTCTGTCTTCTGTGGCATTAGTTCCCCCTCCCACTTTGGTGCCATCTGCAAATTTGATGAGCATCCCCTCAATTCCTTCATCCAAGTCATTTATAATGATGTTGAACAACAGCAGGCTCAAGACAGAATCCTTCAGCACCCCACTTGCCACTTTTCCCCAAGAGGATGAGGAACCATTAGTGAGTACTCTTTGGGTTTTGTCACTCAATCAGCTACAAAGCCAATTAACAGTTACCTCATTCAGCCCACACTTTACCAGTTTCCTCACAAGAATACCATGGGAGACTGTGTCAAAAGCTTTACTGAAATATAGACTACGTGGGTGTCTAGGAAAGCTCAGTCAGTATAGCATAAGACTCTTAGTTTAAGGGTTGGTGGTTCAAGCCCCACCTTAGGCAAAAGATCACTGCATTGCAGGGCATTGGACTAGACACCTTTCCTGGTATCAATGTCAAGCTCACCAGTCAGTGGGTCTTCTTTTTTCCGCTTTTGAAGATGAGGACAACATTTGCTTGCCTCCAGCCTGCAGGGACCTCACCTGTTCTCCAATAGTTCTCAAAGATTTTGGACAGAGGCTGTGAGATTACATCCACAAGATCCTTTAGTATCCTTGGATGCAGTTCATCAGGCCCTGGAAATCTGAATTCATTTAAAGTAGCTAGGTGTTCCCTTATTATTATTGACCTCTCTCACAAGTCTGAGCTCATTCTGACCTTAGGCCTGCCTGACCTCCTCCATGCAACTGTTGCTTACTCATGTAGATTCTTCCTTTGTGATTTCCCCTTTCTTCTATTTCTTATACATGCCTTTCTTAACTTTCAGAACATCTTTAAGCTCCTTACGCAGCCACACCAGTTTCTTTAGATGCCTCCCA